AGCCTGCCGACATTGACGCATCAGTCGTCGTATCTCTCCGAACCCATTGACGCAGGCAAATACGGCCTCAACAGCATGGCGCTCGACGATGCCTGGCCGTATTTGAAAGCCAAGATGCTCGTCATTTTTGAAGGCGAAGATTTGCGACAGCCGGTGGAGGACTTCAATAGGCTGGTGACGTTGCACATTCAATATTGCATTCAACGCATGTCGCCCAACATTATTCTCGAGGATTTGCGCGAGCTCTTGTCGACCGGCTTCGCTTCCTTGGACCATACTCTTCGGCGCACACAGGAGGATAAAGTCATTCCGGCTCTCGTCGAGATGTGGCTCATTACCTACACCTCGATTCTGCCATACATGCAGGCCGTCTTCCTACCCTTGGACCTGGAGTTCTCTGGCTGTGGCGTTCTCATGAACCCGGACCAAGCCCGTCAATTCTGGGGCGGCGTCAAGTCACAGTCCTCCGATAGCGGTCCATACGTTAGTCCCGCATCCGCAGTCCTAGATGTGCGTCGCATCGTACTTACGGCCTACCGTGACATTGTCATTCTCCCCCGCTACGACTCCCTCAAGGCCATCTTCTCTCGGCTCTCTCTCGAATTCCTCCCGTCCTCATTCGCCTCTTTAGCCCTCGCATCTCCGCTACCGGATCCGGCGCTGTCGTCGAGCCCCGCGGATGCTATCAGTATGATGCGACCCGGCACAGCCATGAGCCTCGATCCGTCCGTGGCGAGCTATAACTCGAATGCGACGACGCTCCTGGGCGACGGAAGCGCAGGAGGCGGCGGACGCAGCCGTGCCATCAGCAACGTCAGCTATGCCAGCGCCGGGAGCGATGGCCAGATGCGCCCGTTTACGCGCGAGCAGAACGTCGAGGACTCTAAGCAGGTTACCGAGATGGTGGGACGCATGTTGCAGTGCATGAGCATACTCGCCAGCATCGGGGGTGTCACGGGCGACGGCAGCGACGAGGGGAACAGGAGAATGGAGGAGCTATGCCGGCTGCTCAAGCTGAATTGGCTTGGTAGGGGCCGGACGGGCAGGAACAGGAGAGGCATAGTGGGCGGGAGACGGAGGGAGATACCCGAGTCTATTAGGGAAGGGTTGCGCGTCGTCTAAGGGGGGTGCATGCTGCGATGGGATGGCTTTGGTGCTTTTCCCCCCCGACCATTCACCTGCTGGAAGGGGGGAGGCGTTTACTCTTGGGATCAATTTTGGGTGCAGGTCGGATCTTAGACGTTCTTTCTTCACGGGGTGAATAACGCGGTGAATGGCTACGGCCTCCGTGATGGCGTTTGTTTCAGTGAGGTTGGGCTGCATTTTGGGAATAGTACTCTGGTGGAAGGGGACGTGGCTGGATGGCTCTTGTCGTTGTTGTTCGTGACATAGCAGGGAGAAGTAAAAAGTTACAATGGAAGAGAGACAATAACGTCGATTTTGGTGTTTGTTGTGTGTGTGGTAATTTGAGTTGCTTCATACATGCCTGCCTGCCTCGATAATGTGATGCAGTCGCAACTGAAGATATCATGTCGGCATCTCTTTTGACGGCGTCTCTTTTGACGGCGTCTCTTTTATTGGAGCCTACGAACTTTCCACGACCTAACTTACCTTACGCCAGAGGCTTACGGCCTGAGTTGCGGGTGATCTTACCCTGCTTTCGGACATTCAGGACGGAGGCTCCGTGTGTGGTAGATCGATTTATTTGGTGATATCATGCTCATTAGACTTGGAGGTTTGATAGTTGTTCGTGATCACCCAGTAAGGAATCATAGATACGTTACCAGTCATACATGTTGACTACAATCTTGTGTTGGACCGTGGTTTTGGGATGAGATTGGTATATGGCGTCGAATGCGAGTTTGCGGCATCGCGTGAGCACCTTATTATGACATCTCGTGTGAATTTGTCATGTTTTTTTGCCCTTGCCAGCAAGATCCCCGTGCAATTGCGAGTATACGGCACACGACATGTTCACGAATCACGGCGAGGAAAGCAGCAACGGCATGGTTTGCAAAGAATTAAAGTTTCCATTATTTGAATAGCTATGTTGCGTCGCGTCCACAATGACACGCGACCTGCACAAGGTACCAAAGAAGCGTCCTGTTCTTGAAAATCCCGTTAGCTTGCGGTCGGGCAAAGGTACAAGTCGTCGAAAAACAGTGTTTTGGTGACAGAAAATCAGACATCCAAGGAAGTGTTAGCCCTCATACGTCGCTTAAGAAACACTTTTGCAAGCGTTCCCGCCAAGGCTCAGGCTGCGACTCGAGTGAAAACTGCGAACAAGTGGAAATTTCATCATGATATGGCGTGGCGTTGTTGTGTTGGTGTGTGTGAGGAGATGAAGTACTAACCTTGTGGTTCGGGGTTGATGAGAGATGCTGAAAAGGTTAGTGATGAGAGAGCGGAGAAAGTGTAGCAGTCTGCGCCGTGTGTCCCTGAATTCACAACATGTCAGCGAGGTTTGCTCTTGAAAGCAAGAGATGCCATTGCTGATGAAGAGTGAAGATGATGTGTCAGACAGAATATACTGGCAAGTAACAGGTTCCTTTCGAGGGGAACCCGAACAGACTAGGTTTCTTCATGGTCGATTCGGTTGGGAAAAGAAGACAATGTTTCTTGAATGTCATCATTCGGAGAGATGGGAGAGCCGTGTAGAGAAAAAGATGTGATGCTTACCTGGACGTAGGCCGTCGCAGCGACAGCCAGAGAACGCGCGCACGCAAACAATCAACAGCAGAGCTTGAAATGAAGCTTGCGATCTCTCAATGCAGCGTGAGTGCGGTCCTAGCTGTCGATGCGAGAGTGTGGCGTGAGAAGAAGATGGTTGCCTAGAGTCGATGAAGGATATGGTTTGACGTGCAGGAGAAGAGATTTTATAGATGAGGCTCTGGAAGGAAATAGTGGGGACGCAGCCTCAAAGATTTTTTTTCTCTTTCCTTCCCCTGGCGGGCGGACACCCGACCCTTTGGACGAATGGATCCACCTTTGATCCACGTGACTCGAGCTTGGATCTCTGGTCGGGTCCGAAAAAAGTTATGGTGGGGATTGGGGGAAAGCTAGAGTCGCAATGCACCACGTGACTTTGGAGCTCGGAGATATTCGCCGTAGTGGCCGATCCCCGCCAAAGAAGGATTTAGATTGAGCTCATTGGACCCCTTCTCAAGGTTCATGTCACCAGACGAGGAATTGGGGGGGGGGGGGAGCCGCGAGTGAGATGACCTCTAACACCTCTCTTTCCCCCGTGCTCCGGTACGCGTGTGATGGGGTCGAGCAAGTGAAAGCGACCGGGTGGTTCGGTGGACACGTGGTGGCCATTGGCGAACGCAAAACCCAGGCATAAGGCGGGCAGGTCTACGCGATTCCGGCGCTGTCATTTTCGCACATTTGTCATGTTGCTGCCGTGGAGGCCATTGCAGCGGGATTTCGGGGTGTGGTCCAGCGAGGGCAAATTGAAAGGACGATGCCGTGAGAAGATGGCAGCAAAAGAGGCTTGGGGGTAAGGTAGGTAGGCGGCCCGGACTCTCCTGCGTGCGCTGAGCAGTGAGGTGAGGTGGGCTTTTGCTGCGCTGGTCAATTCTGCTACACTGCTTGACCCCTGGATGGATATTGCTGAAGAAGCTTGCCTTGTTGCATAAAAGTTGCTGATCGCAGACCTCCCGCTCTTCTTGATAAGGGCATATTCCGCATTTTTCTGGAGCTTCCCGCCACTCCATTCCGGCATATCCATGTTTCTCCATGTCTCATTGCTACATAGCGTATTCTACAAAACGATTGGACCCACTCTCCCCAAGCCGATGGGAGCAGAGTGCAGCAGGAGCCTGACATTCTGGCAAGGTCGCCCGCCCACCTCACGCTTCCACTCTGTCCCTGCTCTGTTCCCGTTCCCGTTCCCCAGGGCCCTCTCTCTTTCTCGCTCGACCTCGATCCGTATCCCGCCATTTTATGCCTTATGCCTTGTACCTTGCCTCGTCTTAGCTTGCCTACCTTACCGTACCTTACCTTCTCTCTCGCTGCTTCCATTGCTATCTCTTGATCGGCCTCAGGGTTTGGATTTGGCCGCAAGTTGAAGCCTTGCCTTTGAACCTTTCAACAGAGCACGCATACAACCTCCCATCTCTCCAGCACCACTTGGAGCGCCTTTCACCCTCCTCAAACACCCCTGGCTGAAGCCTCTTTTTTTTATAATTTGTTCCAGTCTACCGGGGCTCCGGAAACTCATCTCGTTCCGTAGTACTGCTTAATTGCAAACACCCCAAACAGCCAACCTCCAAAGCAAATCACTTGGGTTTCCGCTGCCCGCTTGCAAAAGAGCCAGAGCTCAGCAGGCCCAGCCAGACTCCCTCTCCCAGTTCCCTTTGGTTGCGTCGTCTCTGCGTCCGTTCTTCTTCAGCCAGCCTGCCAGCACCGCACCGCACCGCACCGTACCACTCACCCACCTCCAAAAACCCCCCCCAAATATTTCTCTCCCTCTCTCCTTCCCGCTTTCCTGGCAAGGCAAGGCGGCGCGGAAAAGGCTTGTTCGTTGCGCTCGACGTGTGCAATAAAAAATTGGGCATCTCGAACCAACCCGCTCTCCGAATGTCATCGACACTGGTCGATTGCAGCATCCGTCGTCCACTCTAACGAGATTCCCACCTCTATTCCGCTCGCTTTCGCTATCGCGCGAAACGTCGACACGTCTTTGCGTCCGTCGTATCCATCCTTTCGAGATTACCTTAGACAACCAACCCATTTTCCCTTCTCCAGTCGCCCACGTCTTTGCCGACGCCAACTTTCTCCCCGTCACTTAGTCGGGCTCTCCTTTGGTCGCAGGGCACCTACCCACCCGCCATCTCACCTCCCCCTACATCTCACTTCCATTTCTTTCGTTGTTTGTCGTCGCATCCCGACCTCCTTACCACAATATCGCCCACCCACCGTTGTCGTCACGCCGATCATCGATGCCTTCTCGGTCCCTCTTCACCTGTTGACCCGGCCGTTCGCATTCAACGACTCCTATCGCAATCGATAACGCTAGTCGAGCCCGCCCGCACCCGCACTACGCGATTGACACCACTTCCCGCGTCTGGCAAATCACGACTCCATCGCTTTCCGCGTCGCGCCCATCTCCGCAAATCCGGCCGCCCCAATCCTTCGTTACCTTTACGGCCCCGATTGTCGATTTGTCGTCGAGATAGACCACCTTTGAACGCAGGCGCATGAGATAGTACAAAGGGAAGACACGTCGATATCCACCCTGTGGATCATCGACACGCCGAAGACATGATGACGAGTATGGGACCGTCTTTTGCAGGCCATCCTGCCGGCATGCAACAGCATCCAGGTGTACCCGGGCACCCCATGGCCCAGGGTATGCCTCACAACCCAGGGCAACAAGGCCCGGGCGGAGGAATGCCTCACCAGATGCACATGGCAGTATCAGGGCCTGGTGGTCAGGTTAATCCAAATCAGTTGATGGGCGGCATGCCGCCGGGTGCTGGAGGTCCGAACGCTCACGCTCTGCAGCATCTCAATCCTGCCCAAAACCAAATGTTCCAGCAAAATCAGTTTGGTAACTGTATGTCCAGTCTCCTCGCCCTCGCGTCGCCGTCTTGTCTATATGTTTCCCTACTGACCAAAGTCGCGCAGTCCAAACTCCAGCGGCGATGGCGCACGCCACCCAGATGGCGCAACAGCGCTTGTTCCAACAGCAACAACAGGCGCGACAAGCGCTCATGGCTCAGCAGGCCTTCAACGCGAATATGGCGGGCGTCAATGGTATGCCGATGGGGATGCCCATGAACCCCATGAACGCAGCTCAGATTGCGGCCATGAGGCAGGGCATGCGGCCGGTAAATATCACATATCCCACCTTGGTACTCACATGGCTTACGATAGGGTACAGCAGCAACATAACCCCCAGGCACAGGCGATGCTCGCTCAGCAGATCGCTCTCCAGCAGCAAGCCGTCGCTCAACAGAACCAGCAGATGCAACAGGGCCAGCAACAGCCCGGCCAGCCGGTGCAGATGAACCCTCAGCACATGCAAAACCTTCAGCAGGCCCAGATGGCAATGCAACAGCAGCAAGCCCAGCAGCAACAGGCTCAACAGCAGGCTCAGCAACAGCAGGCTCAGCAACAGGCCCAGCAACAGGCCCAGCAGCAAGCGCAACAGCAAGCGCAACAGGGCCAGCAACCCCAAGGCGGACCGCAGCAGCCTCAACCGCAACCCCAGCAGACACCGCATCAGACACCACAGCAGCAAACCGCGCAACCCGTCAACCCTCAATCTGCAGGACAGCCAACGCCGTCTCAGACTCCGGGCCCGGCCCCGAATCAGCAACCGCAGCCTCCTCAGCCTCAAGCCCAACCGCAGGGCCCCCCTCAAATGGCTCCTCAACCTGGACCGCAACAAATGAACCCCGCGCAGCAGGCTGCAGCTCAGGCTGCCGTCGCCAACAGCATGGCTATTGCTCAACAACAAAGAAGGGAAGGAATGAAGGGACACTGTCTACTGAAGTTAATGCAGTTTAGCGAACACCTGAGCGGCTTCCCCGTAAGTCGAAACTGAAGACTGCGCCCAGTCACAGCTCACTGACAGAAAATCCAGGGCCCCAAGGGCAAAGATGACCTATCCTACTGGAACAGCTTCGTCAATCAATTCTTCTCCACGAAGGGCGTGTTCCGACACTCTGTACACATTACCGATGTCGAAGACCAGGCAGACAAGCAATACGAGATAACCTACCCCGCACTTCCTCGATACTTCCACACGCACTTCGACAGCGGTGTCAAGAACATGCAATTGATCATGGAAAAGGGCACGACGGATCGACCGCTCCCCGGCGACGGTCACTGGATTGAGAACACGAAGTCTAGTTTGGTCTACTGGTACGATAGCGGTTCGCACGTAAGTCAATAGCTCTAGTTGCCGAGAACACAGACAGCTTCTAACACTGCGCGCAGCTTGTCGCTACGGGCACCGTCAGAGCCCACTTTGATGCGGAGCAAAAGATTGAACTCTTTGAGTTCTTGACAACCAACCACGAAGAATACATTTCTAGAAAGGCTGCTATCGAAGCTGCGAAGCCTGTGCATAACTGGGTGAAGGACTGGCACAAGGTTAACTCCCCTGACACCAAGACCTCCCCAGAAATGAGCAAGAAGGGCAAGGCTCGCCTTATGAAGTCCCCGCAAAATCCTCCGCCAGAAGCGCTGGTGGATCTTCCGGAGTCGGCGGTCAAGAGGGGTATGGGGGTTACCGAAGCTGTGTTCCAGTTCCTCGAGGTAAGTGACAGCTCGCCCGCGCATGCATGTGGATCTCCGGCACTAAAGATGACATGCAGATTGCTGAAGTGATCGGCCAAATGAACCCCCTTTTCGCCTTCTACCACAACCACCCTAACCTCGGCCCGTACGCTGCTCTTGAGCAGTACGTCGGTCAGATCAACGCCCAGCCGCAAGTCATGAACGGTCAGCCCATGCCACAAGCTCCCAGGACACCCAGCTTCGGTCAGTTCCCGATGGGTGCGAGCCCGGCTCAGCCGCATATGCAGCTTCCTGGCTCGCCTCACGTCACTGGAAGCCCTGCGCAAGGCCACATGCAGGCACCCGGCATGCAGATGCAACAGAGCCAGCAAGGCACCAGCTCCAGCGGACCTAGTGCAAACACGTCTCCAGCTTCCAACAAGCGGAGACGCCCATCTGGCGTGAAGATGGAGGAGGACGGCTCCCAGGCACCTACCCCGGGTGGTCCTCAGGTCAATGGAGTTCAGAACAAGGGCAAGCCGCCTACGCCGCGGATGGCAAAGAGAATGAAGGGCAACCCGGCGTAAGCTGGAAGGGTGTCTTTTGGACATTCAGGTTATGCTCTAATACGAGTCTGGCTATGCAGGCTCAGTAATGCCTTTTTTTATGTCATCATTATGCAGCATGGCGGCGTCTTAGTGCTTGGCTTTCTGGCTCTGGGATCTCAGGGCTGTTCATATGCGGGTGTTTGGCAAGCATCTTGGACGTTCGGTGTTGGCTGGAAGCTCAATCCACCACATATCCTATGTCGATCTCGTTTGGCCCCTAGGTCCCTATTCACTCTCGACCAAGCCCACCAAGAAGGGCAGGCAAGTTCCTGCACAACCTTGGGACGAGACTTCACCAACTGTCTGCAGCGCAAGTGGTGGTGCCTCGGGTCGAAGGAGGCCTCTGAGCCCCTCCACACGGTGCAACGGTGCAACTGTGCAACGGTAGCAAGTCGTCGCCCAGCAATCGAGATACGCAGAGGCTAATCGAGACAACAAAGCTTGTCCATATTCCTCCCTCCCTACCTGTACGATATCACGCTCGGCTACTGTCTAGCTCGGGCTCACTGTTTCATGTTATTTATCCCTCGAACCGCCTCGTATTGTCTGATTTGCCCGTCGGGGTCTCGATCACGTCTCCAAGCTACTTTTTCCTTTTTTGTTGTTGGCGAGGAATGAGTTGGGGGAAAGATGGGTTTCCAAAAAAAAAAAGAAGTTTTGTGGATTTTTTTTCCTGGCGGAAAGCTTTTTTTGTTTTATCCTACGGCGGCGGAGGGTGGTGTTTTGTCGGCGTAGTCGTTGCTGTCGCTTCTATTTTCCTCCATCTTACAAATACCTAGTCTCTCATCGGAAAGGAAATATGCATACCCAGATTCTTGACAGGGCGTTGCCTTTTGATGTGATGTTGGTTGGTATGTTTGAGTCACTTGGACCTATCCAGGTCAGGATAAGGTATCCGGTGACTGCGATCGATGCTATGCGAACCGCCTGCTTTTTACCATGACAGCCTTGGGAATTCATTTTTATTCAAAGCATAGCAGAGCATGTCTACTTGTATTGATCCACCGTTCCTATCAACTTTCTTTCCCAGCATTACGGGTCCCACCCAGACTAGCAGCTCTTTGTTGACGTCCCAGGGAGCAGCGCTGGAAAGATTAGAGGACCCTTTTGGGGTAAAAAGTGAGGTTCTCGTCAAGGTACTCAAAATTGTGTTGATCAGATGGTAGGCATGTTTGAGCAAAGAATATCCAGCAGTCCATCCGTTCACCCAAAAGCGCGTTACGATTTTTACGGTGTCGTCGTAAATGGCGTTGCCGGGTCTTGTCAGAAAGTTGGCCCACGTTACGGGGGAAGAAAACAGATAGATCTGGTGATTTTGTCACAATCATGTCATTTCCATTGGAGGGGCAATCACGCGGGGGGTTTTCTGAGTGGTGCAAAACGGAACTCTCTCTCTCACCACCCTGTTCGTTTGCGCACAACACCACCTACTCATCGGAGATGGCTTGAAGTTTTCTCACTTAAGATGGGACTTATCCGCCTTCCGCGACCGTGTTTGGGTTTTCTTTCTCGTTGTTTGTCAGAGTGACCATACAAACTCACAGGTTTTGGTCCGCGATTTTGGGTCCAATCATTTTTTGCTGGAGAGATAAATACAGACCTCATCCGTCTCACCTCATCGAGGGCAAAGAAGCGTTGAAGACACCTGGCGACATACACGAACTAGGCACCATTATTCGAAAGGTTGCATTTTGAGGACTTACGGTTGAACAAAAGCGCAGGATACATAACATCCTACATCACTCAAAATAACACATAGGCCAAAAAAAGAAGGGAGCGAAACAGAGCAAAGAAATGCCACTCTTCCGCTCCTCGTCCGGCCTAGACGCCATCCTCAACCGCCCAGAAGACGACGGATTCGCAACCCATCTCCTCTCCAACCCCCTCTCGACAATAGCGAGATACCTATACGAGTTTTTTCCCGTCTCGCATCCGGTGGTGTATTCCAACCGCAACGGCAACGGCAATGGTAACAGCAATGGCAGCAACCACAACGACGACGCCGTGACCGTAGTCTGCGTCTCCGACACGCACAACACCAAACCTCACCTGCCGCCGGGGGACATCCTCGTGCACGCGGGCGACCTCACGGCCTCGGGCACGAGGAGGGAGCTACGGGAGGCGCTGGGGTGGATTCGGGCGCAGCCTCACCGGTTCAAGGTCGTTGTTGCGGGGAATCACGATTCGTGTTTGGATAAGAGGTGTGGCAAGGGGATCAAGCTTGGTGGACAATCACAATACGACGAGGGGAGCTCGAGAATACGCAGAGATGATGAAGACGACGATGACGACGACGACGACGACGACGACGACGGATCACCTCTGGACTGGGGCGACATCATCTACCTAAGCCGCACAGCAACGACCCTCACGATACCCCCTCGTCGCCCCAACGACGGGAACAGGACGTACGCTGATCGCGAGATCCGCGTCTACGGTAGCCCTTATACACCTCGACACGGCAACTGGGCCTTTCAGTACCCGCGCTCCGGCGGCGCTGCCCCCTACTGCTCCTCCTCCTCCTCCTCCTCCTCCTCCTCTTCCTTGCGCAAGACAGACGTCGACAACGACACCTCCGCCGACCCCTGGTGTGGCACCATCCCGCCCGGAACAGACATCCTCGTCACCCACGCGCCGCCAAAGGGCCACATGGACGACCCGCGCGGCCACTGGGGGTGCGAGATGCTCCTGGCCGAAGTCTGGCGCGCGCGGCCGCGGCTGCACGTCTTTGGGCACGTCCACTGCGGTCGCGGGCGGGAGGCGGTCGCGTTCGACGGGTTGCAGGCGGCGTACGAGGACGTTGTCTTGTTGGAGGCCGAGGCTTTTGCGATAGCTGGCGGGAGCGCTGTTGGTGTTGTTGGAGTTAGTCGTGTCGGCGGTGTGGTGATAGCTTGGATCAAGGCCTTGCTTGCTCTGGGCTGGTGTTTCTTGGTCTGGGGATGGGTGCTGTGGTGGCGTGGGGGACGGAGGGGTACGGGGAGGACTGTGTTTGTGAATGCTGCTGCTGTTGGGGGCTTTCGGGATCGTTTGGTGCGGGAGGCTATTGTTGTGAGGATATAGAAGTTGTGTGTGTAAGTGTGTGCAAGTATGTGTGTGTGAACAGTTGGATTAGGCTTTTTTCGAAAACGGGCGAAGTCGGGAAGTTATTTTGACTTTAGAGTTAACATTGTCTAAGACGCGACGAGGCTTGTCTTCTGGTAGTCTCGTTGCATTTAGTTTGTAGTTACAACGACGATTATGAGAGTAATTGTAGATTGAATATGTGCAGAATGACATGGCATCGGGGCCGAGACTGGGATTCTATAGCAAAATGAGGTCTGGCCTTATAGAGTAAAACTATCACAGCAACAGTACCGCCTCAACTCCCGTCATCATCAAGCGACGAACTCAAATGTTTCTCATGTAATATAAACCCAAAAAGAATGCTGATATCACTATCGTAAGATTGGGATCATATTCAAAAGTGACAAAAGGGAAAAAGGTCCATCCAGGATTCGAACCTGGGCCTACGGAAGGTTCTGAGAATCAGAATCCGACGTCCTAACCAACTAGACTAATAGACCGGTGGTGATGTTGAAGCTATTGTAGTTGCTTCGAAGTCCGGAAGCCCGGAGCGCATATATGAAGGTCCAACGACGGCAAAAAATGGAAGATGATTTTATATCGAATATGAAAATGTAGTTGCAAGTGCATACTCTTTGCAGGAGCGCATTCACATTCATGGTGACGCAGTACCAGGATGTGGATCAACCATTCTGTTCCGCTTGCCCTCTCCGTTTCCCTTACCTGGGGCCGCGTAGGCTTTCTTCGCGAATCCCTCTGGTTTACATGCCTGAGAAATATCAAAAGAATGGTTGCTGTAATTGATGGAGAAATCGACTCTGGTTGAAAAGAGGACTCCTAAAACGCCAAACCATGCTATGCGCCTTATACTTGAAAGACTTTAAACAAGTACCTATATGCCGCCTGTCTCTCTGAAGAGGACGGCTCCCAAACAAAAGAGGGAAACCCCAATGAAACAGACAAAATCAAAGAGAGGCTGTCCGTCCATGACTACAACCCATCCGCTGCTGCTGCTGCTGCTGCTCTCTCCCCATCCTTCTATTCCCTCGCCTATCATTTCAGAATCGCGATTAGCAAAACCAGAATGATGATGAGCACGACAATCGTCATCATCTGCTTATTCTCGCCGGCGTCCCTCGCGACTTTCCCAAGCGACCGGCGCGCCCGGTCGAGCCGGCCCTGGTGCCGGTCCACGACCTCGTCCACCTCGTCCAGCATGGCGACGTGCGAGTCGAGCTCGTCGCCGATCTGCATGCTCAGCTCCCTCTGCCGCCCGATGGACTCGCCCAGCCGGTCCAGGTGGTCGTCCTGGTCGCGCATGATTTGCGAGTGGTACGCGTGGATCTGCTGATTGTCCATGCCCTCCGCCTGGTCGCGGTAGCCCGCCGTGTCGGCCGGGTCGTCGCGGTACCGGCCGGGGCCGAAAAGTGCTGCGGCGGCGGCGTCTTCTTCGGCTGCTGCTGCGGCGCCGGGAGAATCGGTGAAGCGGACGGTCTTGCTGTTGTTTGCGGCGGCGGCACCCCCGGGGAGGCCGCGGAGGGAGCCCTTGAGGGGTTTCGTCGACTGGGCGGCGTCAAAGTCGGCGGCGAGGGAGGGGTCGTTTGGCGAGGTTGTGGTGGAGGAGGTGGAGGGGTTCGAGAATCCGTGGAATTGGGAGGTCAGGTCTGAGAATTGCTTCTGCAGGGCGGGGAGGGAGTCGGTGATGTTCAGGGCGGCGCTGCGGGAAGTAGGATCCAGATTAGCATACCGTATAACGCACGAAAAATGGGCCACGATGCTCTCGCGCGGAATTTGGAGATTATCCCGGCGTGAACGTCGGTTCTGAGGGACTCCGTCGTGCAGGTAGGGGAAACGGGACCAAAGGGGGAGGAAGCTCACCTCTCATCGCCGGCACCCTGCAGGCGCTTGGCCTCGGCGTCTAATGCTTCCAGACCATCTTTGAACTGATCGAGCGAGCGGGAGATGTGTCCGTCCTGGGTGTCGGCGTCGAGGTTGAGCGACAGGGCGCGCTGGCGCTCCAGGAGGGAGAGCTTGACGTGGTCGGCGAGCAGGTAAAGCTGGTTCAGGGTGGACATATTCTTGGTCTTTTGTCTTGTTGCGAATGTCTCTGTGGGGATAGATTTTCGAGTTTATTTCACGTGGTGTGTATGTGTAAGTTACGATTGCCGACCGGTTCTCGTAGTGGAAGGCAGAGTTCACAAGTGGGAGATTCGGATTGGAAGGGACGACGATGGGTGCAAACGTTGTTCCTGGATGGTCCGGAGTGGTTGCGGATTCGGGGGAGGTTTTGGAGGTGTTCATGCGCTGGGGAACGGGGGGGACGGACGGAGACGGGGGGTGTGAGACAAGCGCTCAGGACGTCAGGTCGTCCGCAACAAGGACTGTGAGTTACGTTTCTGTGCAGGCGGCGCCGCAGTGACAGGGGTCTTTGGATCTGTATGCTTTCAAGGGTGCCTGGGGTAGTAGCGCCTCCGGTGATTTGGGGTCACCTAATCCAATAAATGGGGGCCTAGAACTGCAGTGCTTTGCGTGTTGTCCACGTCGACCTTCCAGGTTGATAATGCATGTACTCCACCTTAGTATGTAAAGAGGGCTCTGGTGTATTAACGGGACGGATACTTCATGTTACACGAGTTGACATTACTTATAAACTTGATAATCCCTTGAAGCAAGCACCCATTTCCTCTTGCGATTTATCGAATGACGTCTCCATCCTTATCGATCCCACCAAGAGCCTCGAGAATGTCACTGCCGCCCAACATGCCAACCGCGCCTCCGGCAGTCGATTTTGGCTTGTCCTGCCAGACTTCATGAAACTTGAGAGTCTCATCGCTCGATGCCACAACAATAGTTCCTTCTTTTGCCGTACGACTTCCCTTGAGCGCATCTGATGGTCCTCCTGGGTACGGAATGGCGTACAAGGCCCGCGGGCCACCCGCCCAAGCAATAGCCCCGACTTGCTGACAAGACGGCCAGCTGAAGATAATTAGACGATATGGGTGCTCGGTTTGCGCATAGCCATGGCTGTAGCCAAAGGTGGCCGCTATTTCCCGCCGTGTCGTAGACCAGATTAACGAGGTGACCTGCGCACCGACATCAATGGTGGCCAGTGGTGTGCTAGACGTCGTGTGGAAGAAGTGGATGCACTTGTCGCCCAAGCCGCCGCCAGTGGCAACGAGCCCGTTCTGCCAAGGGCAGAATGCGATTGCCTTTATTGCAGCCTCATGTCGCCAACAATGCGTTTCCATTCCTCGTTTAAACACTCGCAGATCTTCTGTAGGTGCTTGTATCGTTCTAGAGATACCTCCAATAACACCGGCCTCGATTGTTGCACTTATCGGAGTGACGTTGAACAACGTCTCCATGCCAGGGCTCATTCCATTGCCGCTCGCTTCGCACTCTTTGGGTCGAGGATAGCTACTGTCTCTTCCTAGCAGGCTCCAATCACTTTTTGAACGGCGGCTTTTACGGATCGGAGTCGAAGATGAGCTGTGGTGCCCGCGCTGTTTGTCCAAACGTTGTATCTCAAAGTAGCAGGCCGTGTTGTCGTTGCTCCCGGAAACAAAGTCTTTGCCATTGGGAGACCAGACCAATGCACAAATCTGCGAGGTGTGCGCTGCAATCTTGGCAACGGGCGTCACTTTACCAAACCAAGTGTCACGAGATACCTCCCACAAGCTGGGCCACTCAACGATGTAGTGCAGGATGTTTCCTCGACCATCGCCAACCAGAAGGTCCTCTGTTGACACTGTAGCACTCGAGATGAAGGGGTTTTGTGATGGCCTTTTCGTCACTGATGGCCGCTAGCTGACACATTCGATCGGAAACGGGTGGTGGAACCAAAACCGCGGAAGCATTTCGTCAATGAACGATAGAAGACCAAAGTAACCGTCCTTGCGCGCAAAAGCCAAGATGGCCTTGTTTCCCTCGGCTGAGGAAAATGACAGAGATGTCAGGCTCGTATGTCGCTGGTGAGGAGTGCGGTAGACAGGCTGGGGATCATGCCATTCCGACCATCGGTAGACGGTGTTTCCCAGAGCCACAGCTAAGCATCGGCAGGTAGAAGAGTAGGCCAGCGGCGAGCGATAGTAGTCATCCTCGAGGCCCGGCGCTTGAAGGACTTTGTAGGGCGCCGCTGGCAGGCTGCGTTGTAATTGGATCGTGTCTAAGGACGAGTGTAAGCTTGATGGAGCACAGATACTCGTTGGAAAAACGCAGTTTACCCGTGGAAGATGCGAGTATCTGGGTTGTATACTCGGTTCTCGGTTCTCGTGCCGGATGAACCCTGAAATCGAGAATCTTGGCTGTCTTGTCGATCCTCAAGGCCTCAGCCAGTCTCTCTTCGTGTCGTTGGTGTTCCTCATCTTCCTTCGGCCGCGGCCCAAAGAACTTTGTTCTGATTCGTCTACAGGGAGTAGACGAGGCTGGAGAAGAGCGCTTGGAAGAAGTTGGGGACAAGACCGACGGTCCAACGACGGAGACGGGGATGGGACGGCAGGCAGGCGGTGTAGGCAGTGGCAGATGGTCTTGCTTCATGTGAATCTTTTCGGAGAGGGGAGTTCCATCTCGTCGAGGGATGTAGCGATGCATGTCCTAGGGAGAGATGATTTCTTAGGGGGGGCGGATGGTGAAGAAGAAGAAGAAGAAGAGCAAGGGAAAGGAGAACAAGTAGATCAGTATGTCATTGTATGCACGTTAGTAGCTAGCGTCGTCACGGGAAGCTGTGCAAGCCAGCTTGGTCAGTTCTTCCTCAGGTGCGATGGTCTCGAGCTCCTGCCAAAGCTGATCGAAGCAATTAAGATTATGGCTAGCTCGCTCTTGTGCGACAGCTGGATAACGTGGTGGCGGAACAAAAGTGTGGAGTAGGGCAACAACTAGGAGTATAAGGGTAAGTGTTGAACAACAAGATGGAAGATGAATGGGGAAGGCCTGATTTATCCCGTAGTCTGAATGTAACGGGAGTGGAAATACTGTTGAATTCCCCTCTGGATACCGAACTAAGAACACGACCTCGACTTCCAGGCCGGTTGGTCAGGTACAGCCTTCTCATGTCCGAGACGCCTTTCATCTCTATTACCCAAGGCATACAAAAAAAATGTATTTTGGCCTGACTAGGCACTCGCCCTTGGGTTAGTACCTAGTCCGTGATCTGCCTTGTCACAGCGATGAGGCAACAAGTGGAGGTGTAAGACAACTGCTCAATGAGAGTGGTAATAAGGTACCTTACCATATCTACCTTAGAGGTAGGTACAAGTAGGTGCCTAGTTAGCACGTGGGTAGGTACGTACGACGTTGCTCAGAGTCTTCTTCCCCGGGAGCTCGGGCCACTGGCTAAATTGACGTACTTTGACGGACGTGACGGGGTAGTGGGGAATCCCTGCTCTGGCGCGCGCCGCCCGCGCTGCCGCCAAGTTCCCGCATCAGCTTCATGCCACCCAGAGCTCGCAGCACCTTCAACCCCCGGCCCCCAAGACTTGACTTTGAGCGGACTGTAATTTCTCTCCGTCCTCCCTGATCGACCTCCCCTTTTCCTGTCAGATCATCTCGCTCTCCTAGAGCACCCCTTAGATCTCCATGGAAAGCGTAAGTATCATCACCTCCCGGCCCAGCGTCTTCCCCCCCTTCCACCCGTCGTCCCTCTGTCCATCAAACAAAAACCTCCATCACATCTCCAAACACCCCACAACCGCCAAGACATCTACACACGCCCCGTTCCCTCCTCCTATCTCCAAAGCTCACCAGTCAAAAACGCACAGCACGGCATAGCCCGCACAGCCCGGAAACCACGCACCGAAGCCCAGCTCCAGGCCGACCTCGCAAAGATTGCCAACCTCCGCGCCCTCGAAGACGCCCTCCTCCGCGCCTCGCCGCAGCCCGCCGATCCGGCCGACCCGGCGACCCTCGCCCTGACCACGAAGCTCCTGCGCCTGAACCCGGAGCACTACACGGCATGGAACGTCCGCAGGCGCTGCCTAACCTGTGGATTATTATCAAGACCCTCGCCTGGGCCGTCGCCGTCGGCGCAGCCCGCGAGTTCGTCAGCAGCATGCACTCCGCCTCCGTCCTCCGCCGCTGCGTCGCCATTTTCCTCGACCGCGATCCCGCCAGGCCCCGCGTCCCCACAGGACCGCGAGAGTGGGAGGAATGGTACAACAGCTGATGAGCAGCCGCCGCCGCCAGTCGACGACGAAAAGGTGGTCGACACCCTCAGGAGCGAGCTCATGTTCACGATCCCTCTACTGCTGGAGTTCCCAAAGAGCTACTGGATCTGGAAATACCGCTCCTGGCTCCTCCAGCAAGCCATCGACATACTACCCAAACCCATCGCCCGTCGTATATGGGAGGAGGAGCTCGGCCTCGTGTCCAAGATGCTGACCAAGGACCGCCGCAATTTTCACGCCTGGGGCTACCGGCGCAAAGTCGTCGCCTCTCTCGAAAGCGCGGCGCTCGACGGCACGAGCCTGGTCGAGGCCGAGTTCGCCTACACGACAAAGATGATCAACACGGACCTGTCCAACTTCTCGGCGTGGCATAACCGCTCTAACCTGATACCCCGCCTGCTAGAGGAGCGCGGTGCCGACGACGCGGCGCGACAAAAGTTTCTAGAAGATGGTAAGGGCGATCCCATATATATCAATGTATTCCCCATGCAGTTTGCGATTGAAGCCGGCTAACGAACAGCAGAACTCGACCTCGTCCGCGAAGCACTAAACGTGGGTCCAGAAGACCAGTCTCTCTGGTTCTACCACCATTTCCTCGTCCAAAACATGACTGAGCCAGATGGCCGGCCCAAGATCGCGCCGAGTCTGTCAAGTACGGAAAAGGCATCCTACGTGAGGCGTGAGATTGAAGATATCAAGGACCTTTTGGAGGACTACGACGACATTACGTGGATATATAAGGCCCTGTTAGACTACACGAGGGCGCTGCCGCACATCGAAGGAAGAGAGCTCAGCGAAGAAGAGACAGAGGAACTACAAACGTGGATGACCAAAGTGCGCCAGCTGGACCCTATGCGTAATGGGCGTTGGAAGGACCTCGAGAAGGAGTGTAGTCTACTCTAGCCTTCCAGAGCAAACAAATCCATGTTCCAATCGTGTGTGGTTCTAAAGCAAGCGGCGGCGTCACGAGGGGCAGGGTCGACTATCATTATGTATTAGGTATAGGAGCGAACCAGATGTACACGGCAGCGTATCTACGTGCTAAAAAAGGTGATGATCACTTCCTGGCGAACTACATGAGCACCACACAGAACGCTCAAGAGGCGCATTTGCCCTTGATTAGGCTGGCGTTCTCTCCTACCAACCCATCAAAGTACGACAGCAGCGTCTCGACGGGAATCATATCCATCAGACCCAGTGCTGGGTGAGACGACTTGAGGACCTGGCCGCTCCAGAGGACTCTGATGTACCAGCCACTCTCAACCGAGCCAGGCGTAGATGTGGATGTGGCCGTGGGAGGGTTCTTGGCGGCGGCGGCGGCGGCGGCGGCGGCGCCTTCATCCGCTCCCCGCTTCTTGTACAGCTCAAAGACGACCTCGGAGCCCATGCCGGGCCAGACCATGTGGTCGAGCTGCAGGATAGACAGCAGCCGCGAGACGGAGCCGTCGTGCGCGACGTTGTGGAAGTAGATTGTCTCGCTCGTGCCGTCGACGACGGCGCGCAGGTGGACGGCGAGCTCGGCGACCCAGACGCCCCACGCCGCGACGCTGGCGGCGAGGGAGTCGGGGCTGTCGCGGTAGAGCTGGGAGTACTCCCAGTGGCCCAGGCGGTAGGCGGCGTCGGCAAGGTCCTGCGTGACGCAGGTGGTGGAGTTGGCGCCGCCGACGAGCTTGCAGGGGAAGGGCTTGTCGTGGCACTGGCGGGCGGAGAGGTTGTCGTAGTAGTGGTCCAGCGAGGCGTGGAAGCCCTCGTCGTCGGCGGGGACGCCCGAGATGTCGTCGAGAACGGCGTAGAGGGGGCCGGCGGCGGCGAGGTGCTGGGCCCAGGCGGCGTTGGAGGCGGATTTTATGCGGTTGAAGAGGGCGTAGCCGGCGGGGCAGGAGTACTGCGGTTCGAGGGAGTCGACGCCGGCGGCCTGGATGTTGAGCTGGAGGGAGTCGGTGGCGGCCCACATGCCGTTGACGACCATGCCGGCGACCTGGCTGGTGATTTGGTTGTTGGTGACGCGGTACTTGATCTTGCGGTGCCACTCGGGCGAGTTGACGGTGTCATGGCCGGGGATGAAGCCTAGCAGATCGTGGTAGACGCCGTAGAGGTCGGCGCCGTGAACCCAGGAGTCATCGAGGCCCTGGGCGGTGATCTGGGGGAATTGGCAGGTTCCTATCCAGCCCGCGGGGACGAAGGGATTGACGGGGGAGATGTAGACCTTCCAGTAGGTCTTTGCCGGCTTGTTGCTGCTGGCAAAGGGCTCGCCGTAATAGAAGAGTCCTTGGTCGTCGCAGTTCCACTGGTACGGCTCAACGGGGAAGGCGTTGGAGGCGTAGGGCGTGCGTTTGTGGTGGCGGTGAACCTTATGGACAAGTCAGTGTTTGAGGAAGCGGAAGAAGAAAGGAACCAGTGAAAAGGGGTTCGATTCGTTTACTCACCAATTCCACGTACTTGAGCTCGTAATCATCCGACGGCTTCACATACTCCGTCTTGCGCACATGGGGCATGTTGCACCAGTTGTACTGCCCGTACCTGTCGTCGGGAGTCTCCGAGGTGTCATAAATGAACCCCCAGACACCCTTGCCGTTGATCACGGCGGTCAGATTATTGACCTCTGCGCGAGCGGGCGCGTACCAGCTCAGATCAACACCACCAGCTGCATTCACGACACCGCCGGCGCTGGTGCCGGTGCCGGTGCCGGTGCCGAAGACAGCAAGGCCGGTTAACAGAGTGGAAGCCTTGGGCGCCATGATATGGGGGAGGGCAAGTTGGACAAAGATGAGGAAACTAGCAACGATGAGGAGGGACTTTAGCCAGGCGGCCGGCGACCCGATGGGCCTTCTCGGGAAAAAAGTTGAGGAAGCCATCCATACTTATGGGTGGGATGCGGCAGGGGGCGGGGATGACCTCTGCTCTCTCCGAGCGAGGCTTGTAAGGACTCGAGAGACAGCAAGCAACACGGGCTCTGCGTGTCTGTAACCCACGTGGTTCCGCAGAAGTGAGGTCCAGCTAGCACTCGAGTTGAAGGGTAATGAGCGGGTCGAGGCAAATGGGGGCCAAAGATGAGTGACTTTCCCGCAGTCGCATCGAAACCTCGCCGGGAGGTTGTTGGACAAGCTGGAGGAGGGTAGGAGGTTGGTGTTGGAGAGATGGAATGGTGTGTGCTCCGTATGCGAAGGAAGTACTCCGTACCTTACGAAGTACCTTAAGGTACTTCGAAGGGTCGTGCACCACGTGTTCAGCCGACTGGTCGCGAGCTCAACCGGCCTCAGGTACCTTGCCTTAGGTACCGTGAGCAACTGGGGTAAGTTAGGTAACGTAGGTAAGTACCACACGGTCAGAAAATAAGGTTGGCCGCTTTTCTCAGGCTTAATGGTTAGAAGAGCGGCCAATTCTGCTGATTGCCGCGTGGGTAAGGTACTTCGTACACAGCGCCTCTGTGCCTGAGGGACGGTACCTGAGCACGTGGTAAAGAACCTCTACCTGGAAAAGGACAGGGACTCGACCTTAGCTCGAATGGTTGGCCCCACACCAGCCGGAACCCGTTATCTCGGCGTCGGACCGGTAAGCCCAGCCCGGCGGAGTGGGTCATTCAATGCCAACGGCACTTGACCTCATGCCGTGCTTCTCCCGCACACCTCCTTCCCTCGCTGTCACAATGCACTCAAAATGAAGTACCTGAGTAAGACCACATCTTTCCACACACTTCTTCCTCGTTAGCATCACTGACGAATACTCCGGAAAAGATGACGAAAATAACCATGTTTCGAATCTCAGATATCCTTCCCTCTGGTACAAACCATATGCAACGCAATCTATCCTGTTTTTTCCGTCACACAGAGTTCATTTCTCAATCCTCAATCCAGCAATCAGTCCGCAAAAATATACAGCGGGGTCTTCTTTCGTGCCTCCACCAGGAAGCCCAAGATCGCAGCTTCCACGCGGTCATCCTCGCGGGCATCTATCACGGAGATCCTCACGCGATCCCCGACTCCAGCTCGCCACAATTCCTCCGGTGTCACATTGGGCGTAATCTCCATGGAATAGAAGTCTAGTAACAACCATGTAACGTGGTCCGTCATGATGACCGACCAGGGTGAACTGGTAACTGATACTCGAATCAGTTGCTTGAGTTAACTTGCTCGCATCGAATACATATTCGGCAATCGGTCTTGGATGAGTAAAATGACTTATTGTCGATCCTGGAGGCGGGTCGCCTGGTATGGCGTCGGACTGCATCTTGGGTAGCTGTCTGATGCTGAAGGAAAGCTCCGATGACTTCCGTGTTCGAAAGTCGAATGTCGGCTCAGGGGATGTAAGGCTTTTGAGTGATGTTGGTCTGGTATGGATGGCAGAGAGAAGAAGAGGAGTGGGTCAAGGAATGCAATAGCAAACAGAAATGCCGCCTTCCCACAGACTTTTATGCGTGCATTACAGGCCTGATATCTGCCTGGAACTCTCTATGTTTCCGTCCTTGAAGAGGATCTCAACGTCTAATCAACGAGAACTTCAAAGCCCCTTTGCCCTCCAATCCCGATGATGGTGCCGTATCCTGTTCATCAGCCCTCCATCTTCAAATCGGCAGGCTCATGTATACACAAAGTCTTCCCTCAGTACTGCGCTTGTCTGCACAGAGCTACAAGTGCCTGCCTGTGCCGGGCTTTCCGTTTACTGGGCTTTTTCCGTAATGAAACCGGGCTTTGGATGTCTTATGCCAATTGGAAGCTGAAAGCCCACGGCATTAAAGGCGATTACCTGTTGCATCTCTGTAGGTAAGAAATAGGTGGCCTAATTTTGTTTGGCGTACATGATTCTGGTTTTCTAGTATGTGTCAATGTCATAGATTGGTACGAATATGCTGCAGTGGATTGATGCCTCTTTTTGCATAGAAAGCTAAGTCTATTTGTGCAGAGTATAGTTCATTTTCCAATGAAGGCAGCGACAACGAAACTTTATTGGACGCAGAGACAAAGAAAAGAAAGAAAATGGTAGCTAGCATCTTCAACAGGTGTCTCTAACCATCTCACCAAAACTACAGCGAAAAAGAAGCAAAATAAATGGGCTACAAAAGATAAAACAAGGGGAAATTTTGAAGGGAATCATCACGACCGCGCAGGGGCAATGCCTCTACTACCTTTTTTCCTGCGCAACCTATTGTTTGTATGCAGGCTGTCTGCCTGCACGGGGCACGGCACCACCTCCCGCCGTCCGACCCAGGCAAGGTACCTAAGCAAGGCAAACTTCTAAGGTAGGCATCAAGGTAGGTAGGTGCCTTGTGCAGTGAGCCTGCCGGATACCTCAAGGTACCTCACACCCCATCTAGCCAACCTCTGAACTTAAAAGACTCATATCCCTCAAGAATCACCCAGCTCATCTCCGTTTGCCCAATTCATCAAATTCATCACGGTCATTTAAGTAATTTCAAAGTCCACTCGCCCCTTCCCGACTTAGAGCAGGTGCTCTTGGAAATCCCCGCTTTCTCGGTCAAACACACACACCTCTTTCTCTCTCTCTCTCTGTCTCTCTCTCTCTTTCTCTCCCACTCTCTCCTCAACTACACACTCACACACAACTTCAGTCATCGGCCGGCCGCGCGCTAAACCGACATGACCATCATACTCCAGCGCAAACATACCAACAATGTCTCGCTCGCGTGTGGATTACGATCGATACAAGCCTACCAAGCGACTGACCCTTACGGAGTACCAGCCTGCAGCCCCGCACGGCACTACCAAATACGACTGGAACCCGCCACCCGGCCCCGAGCTACGCGACTTCGATCCTGACCTAGAGGTCCCAGAAGACGAGCAGGTCCAGCTTGAAATCGTGGAAATCATCTCGGGCGGAACCAACAGCAGAGCCCAGGTTCTCAAGTGCAAGATCATCAAGCCGCGCGCCTGGAAGAAACACCATGACCACGCACCGATCCCACCTCAAGAGAGCATAGTCGTGGCCAAAGTATTCGACCATAAGCTCTGGCCAAGCGACTACGGCGCGCCGATCAAAAACATCGAGCTCAATGACGGTGCCCTCTGTCGCGAAAGCTGTGCTTACAAGCATCTCCATCACCACAACTTGACCGGCTGGCCCCATACCATCGCGGAGTACTATGGCACCTGGGCAGTCAAGTTTATCGTCCGCAAAGTCGAGGGCGAGACTAGTTACAGAACCGTGGGCCTCATCCTCATGGAGTACATTGACGGTCTCTCCATCGAAGACCTCTGCGACCGGGATGAGTACGACGTTCTCATTCCTGACGATGAGCAACCCATCATCTTTCATCAATCCGACGATGATCACCAGGTGACTCTTGATATCAACCTCGACGTGAGGATGGAAGTTCTCAGGCAGTTCCTCGACAACTCGGTCAAGCATATGCATGTTGGGCTCTTGTGCGGTGACATTGAACCCGAGAACATTCTCATCACGATGCGAAATGGCACCGAAGATCTCAAAAATCCTCGCGTTGTTGAGCTTGGTCTAAGTCTCGCACAGCTGTGGTCCAAGACGAAGTCCGGGAAGCGGCCGGGCCACAGCGTTCATTGTCACCAGATCACTCCACATCCGCCTCATCCCATGGAACGATTCAGCACCATCGCACTCACGAGCTTGGTCGGTTGGTTCCCCCAAGAGTGGGCGGACGAGGGCATGAGGAGTCAAGCAGGAGCAAGGTCAGACAACAAGTTCAAGGATTGGCTGATTTGTGCTTTCGGCCCCCTCGAAGAGAACCCGCGGTATTCCTCCTTCAAGACCATGCGCAAGTTGATAGAGAAGAAGAACAAGATAATGGCCGCTCTCGAGAAAGGACCTGTGCGTGTGCAAGAGAGAGATTGTCCGAGAGTCTTACGCGAAGGCGCGGACTTTATACCCACGGCGCGACTGGAGTACATGACCGTCATGGACACGCAAGAAGAAGCAAGGGCTCCATCTGACTAATTTGATGAGTTCGAAGACATTTGGAACAAGGGCGGTAGTGTGGGCGAAGCGCCTGGCTCACAGATGGACCTAGATCAGCCTGTCTAGGGGGAGCTCGACGAGACTGCTGCAAAGCAACTGAAGCCCAATAACGAGAACAGCAAGGTCAAGAAGAGGAAGAATAATAAGAGGAAGGGCAAGCGGGGTTGAGTCTCTACCCCATCTCCTCTCCCTTCTCTCGGTGTGTCCTCTCTCGCTCTTTTTGCCGCATTGGAGAAGTCGACCTTGGTTGTCCGTCAGCCGCGGCGGGTGTTTTGAGGATGCCCTCTCTCTGACTTGAGCCGGGAGGGACTGGCTCGTCTTTTTTTCTTTTTCTGTCGCTGGGTACACGAGGACACATTGGGGACACGGCATTCGGGATACCATAATGACACTGGGACTACGGGGATATGGGAACATTGGCGTGGGCAGTTTGGAGTGTTCTAGATCTCTTTTGCATGTGTGTTTAGGTTTTCCCTTCACAACTGGTCTGCCTACCTTGGAGATGTTCCCTCTTCTTTCTGATGGGGGTGATCTATCTATCGAGGAAGACACAACAGTTGTGATGGAAGTCTGCATCTCGATTTTTTTTGGGGGGGGGGGGGGGAGGAAACGCAAAAGACAAGGCGTAGCAACGAAATTCCATCTTAGCATTTGGTTTGCCGGGCCTTTCCATTGTGATGCTTCTCCATGGCGGAATAAACCTCTGACCACTTTCTCCCTGAGATAGAACGGATCGTGACATGCAAACAGACCCAAGCAAGCGACAGACAAACGAACTGTCCCAGAACGTGTAACGAATTTTCGCCTGGATTTTACTTGACACAGCTCCATCAATCTCCTCCTCCTCCTCTCAGACTCTCAATCCGTTCTAAATTCTCTTGACCCATTCCATTCTAGCATATAATCTATACGAGGCTCTCCCAAAGACTCTAAGACTCTACCTACCAAAAGCCAATAACTCTTCCCCTTCGTTTCATCATCATACAAACGTCCAAGAAAGACCCCCAGCAGGAAAGAACAAAAATCTCTTCTCTCACCTCACGTCTCGCCTTTCCTACGCCCTCCTCTCCCACGCAGCAACGACGGCACCGACAATCTCCTTCCCCTTGGTGATAGCAATCTCGTGCCCGCCCCCAAGGACAATGACCTCGACCGCGTCCTCCCCGAGCACCCTCTCCGCATCCCACACCGTCTCCCCGAGCACGACGATGTCGTCGTCCTCACCGAGCAGGAAGAGCACCCGCCCCTTTCTCAGCCCGGGCTCCGATGCCCATCCTCGACCATCACCAACATCACCACCACCATAGCTACTCCGCCTCGCCTCCAAGACCTCCGCCAGAACCCTCCACTCCTCGTCCCCGCGGTCATAAATCGGCGCGTGCCGAATCGTCGACATATAACTCGTCACGAACCCAGGGTGCCTCGCAAGCTGCCACCCCACAACCTCCCCAATCCGTCCCCCGCCCACGAGCCTAAGCTCATCCCACTCCTCCTTCTTCTCCTCCTCGTCATCATCATCAACAGTCTCCTTCTCCGGTACATCACCGCCCACCCCGCCTCCAACCTTAACAGGCCTCAGCCTCCGCCCAACAACCCACCTCCTCACCCACTCCGGAATCCACCCGGCATTATACAGCACCCGGCTCCGCCACCCGACGTGCGCTCCGCTGCGCACCAGCCCGCCCGGCGCGACTAGGCTGAGCGAGCGCACGAGGTGCGGGTGCGCGGAGGCGAAAGCGGCGGCGACGGCGCCGCCGAGGGAGTAGCCCAGTAGGTGGAAGGCGTCGTTGCCGGTCCAGCCCGGCGAGGGGGACGAGGCGAGCGCGAGGAGGATCTGCGTGGTGTAGAGGCGGGCGTCGTGGGGGAGGTCGAGGGGCGCGTCCGAGTAGCCGCGGCCGAAGAAGTCTGGCGGTGTTAGTTAGGGGATGCTTGTGAAGGGGGTGAGAAAGGGGGAGAGAGCGAGAGAGGGGGAGTTCTGTCTGATGTGTGATGTGTGATGTGTGGTGTGTGGTGTGTGGTGTGTGGTGTGTGAGATGAGTGGCTTGCTTCGAGAGTAAGACCCAAGCTGCCATGATCATTCGAATACTGAACAACGCACTGAACAACGCACTGAACAATGTTCTTCACTTCACATTCCGGATATCACGGCTCATGACCACAATCACACATCCTCATCGACATATACCCCCTCTCATAGTCATCAATCTCATCATCATCGCAACCATCACCATCATTTGAAAGACTTACCAAAAGTCATTACCTTCCACCCCCTCTCCACAAACTCCCCAGCAATACCCCCCAACGCAAGACAAGGCGTCCCGATACCATGCAGCAACAGAACCCTCTCCTCCGCCGCCTCTGGCCCAAACTCGTACACCCGCAAGTTCCCGTACGCCGTCGCGACGTCCCGCGCGCCGGGAAACACGTCGGGCGGGTACGGAAGCCGCTCGTCACTGCCCGGGTCCCGCGTCGTCGTCCATTTCGGCGAGCGGGCCGTCTTGCGGCTGTCCCTTGCCGGGCGCGGGGCCGGGAGGGCGGATGCGGAGGCGGTGGTGGTGCGGGAGATGAGGACGAGGAGGGTGGCGGCGGTCGCTGCTGCTAGGCCTAGGCCGAGGCCTATCTGCGGGAGGTGCCTCTCCAGTAACCCGTCCCTCATCGTGTTCTCTCTCCACCTGTGGATTTTTGGGGGGAGAGAGGTGTTCTAGAATTCTCGGCCCAATCACTTGGTAGTATGGATGTTTGTGCGACCGTCCGGGGCTGCGAGGCTTGGGGTGTGCGCGGGAACGATTTGCGGTTGCGGTTCAACAGGGTTGGGTCAAGGTTGCGGGACAGATTTCACATGATGGATTGTATCCGCGGGTATGGGATTGCGGATGCTGCGCCGGGGTGGGACGGAAGCCCCGTCACCGCACGGAGGTCGGGTAGAGGAGGGCAGCACCGTACAGCCGAGTATCACAGGCACCGCGGGGGGAACAATCGCTCAGGTATCGTAAGGTTTGGATTTCCTCGGTGGATTTCTGTCGTCGCTAGATCGACTTTTGCAAATTACCGAGCCGTGAACTTGAGGCGTTTCCCTGAAGAGAGGTATCGCATATTCCCTAGACTCATCGTCGGCGTCGCCGCCAGGTTCCGTGCCCCTCCGAGAGGGGTGACGTCGCAAAGTAGCCGGCTCTCTCCTTCGATCCCCCATGGGCACAGCATGGGGCCTTGGCCATGGGGCGGGTCCTCGACTGTTTTTGTTTAGTGGGAATCTGAACAATGCCATTCACTCGGGACTCGGAGACCCTGCCTTTGCCCTTTACCTTCAACATCTGCCGGGTAAGGTGACTGAGTGGGGTGAAGAACAGCGCATACAGCGGAAAGAATGAAGACTTCTTTCTCTGCCCTATGTACAGTGGCAGCATATCGTCGAGTCCCGACAGCGAACCACCTGAGTCCAAGACACCGCCGCGAGATGCTGCGTCTTGTTGCATCCGCGCCGGAGATGCATCGGATGGAAGCGGAGCGGGACTCGCTCGCCAGTAAAGCCCATCTTCGACCCAAGCAAGCAAGCAGGCCAGCCAGTCAGTCACCTCACGCTCCTGTCTGTACCTGCTGGCAGCCCTGAACCGGCAGACCGCCAAGAAAGCACTGTGCCGTTTGGCATGGTACAGCATGGCTGCCATGCCATGCACCACCAGTTGAGTGCCGCCGGCATGCCAGATGCGTCGGTTTGGCTGGTTGACTGCTGTTCCGGCCCTGTCGCTGGCGACACCGAACCGTTCGCATTCCTACTCCTCCTTTTTTTGCTTTTTCGATGCTCTACCGTCGATGCAGGAAGCCCTATACGGTGCAAGCCAGGTAGATAGTGTATCCGTAGGTAATGGTGTCCACGGAGGTGGCTCAGCTGGTAGCTTGCCGTGCTTGCCTCGCCAACCCAAAGTAAGCTTCAGCTCCTAGCTGTCGTCTTCGTACTTCTCCAACCCCCCAAAGGACAAAGGAGGGGGAGGGGAAGATGGGAACGGTGAGAGAGAGTGGCGGCGAGGTGGTCGGAGCGTCCCCCCACTGAGACGGTTGGCGTAGAACCCGGGGAACGAGGTGAGGTGGTGAGACAGGCGAGAGGAATAATCCGCCGCCGCAGCAAGCGATGCACACAATCCGCTGTCTGGATCGAGTCTGGCCCAACCTTGAATGCCAAAATGGCGGTGTGGCAGTGAAGAAGGGGCTTTTCCATGTCTTCCCATGTCCCCCTCAACCTTGTTGTTGGTCTGCCGTCCGTGTGTCTGTGGCTGCCCCGTCCTCCCTTGCCTTTCCCATGGCTGCTAGATCCTATTCACCCAGAAAGCAAATCCGTAAGATCTCGTGGGGTGAGCCGACCAACGTCAATTGTCAACTCAAAGGAACAACACCGATCCTCCGTCAGCTGCCACACATGGGCGCAAACATGCCGTCCACCGCCATGTACATCGCACACTTGTGGTTTCACGCGGGCGTTGATATGGTAGGGTTTGAAGGTTAGCAGGAGACTGATTGGTGATGGCACAGCTGGTGAGGCTGGAAGGTTGGTCCAGAGGCTGGAGACCAAGAGAAACAAAAGAAGGTTGTCCAACCAGCCATCAAATCCTTCCTTCCAGGGGAGCTTCGGCGTTGGTAGGTGTAGAGCATCGTGCGTGGATTGGATGCGTCAACAGGAACTGTGTGACAGCGAAGGTCGAACTCAATGGCGGAATCCCCACACATCCATCTTGCTTTTCTTTACTTGCCGTCTAGACCCTGGCAACTTGGCGAATGCTGGCTTGCGTTGCTGCAGGCATTGTGCTGTGAGCTCGTTCGCAAGAAAAACAAGGGCCTGGCAGAAGGACATCGAGGTTTGAGTGTGTCAATCCTGTCCCGATATGGAACAAGTCCTGGAGAATGGAGGGGATGCCGCTCCTACGTCTGCTGCAGTCTGCTGAAAGGGTCCTCGGCCTCCCCAGGCACGGGCGAATCCAGGAACCCTGAGCTCAGGACCGTCCGGCTCTGGCCTCTCTACACAGCGGGCAAGCATCCAACAAGTATCCGTAGCGTAGAGAGCCGACTGGGCGACCAAAATAGCAGCCTTCAGTTCCATTGCATGGGACACTGGGTGACTGGCACGACTGGATAGCATGGAAACGGTAGGCAAACGGAACAAATGCCCGTTACGTAGTTGAGATGAGCCCTGGCCATGTATCCGTACCGGCGCTGTGACTGTCGCGGCGTTGCCAAAGGGCAGAGAGCGAGCGGGCGGGATGACGGTTGATCGGAGGACTGGGTGACTGACTGGTTGACCGGGCTGACTGTCGAGGTGACGGACTGGGACGTGGGGTGACACGTTGATGGGAATGCGATTCTGCCCCCTTTCGTCACTCGGATTCCCCTATGAGCTCCACTGTAGAGATCACGAAGCCATCGTCAGGTGTCTCAAGATGGTTTCCCATCTTCTATGGGACCCTCTCTCAAGACCCCTAGGGGCCCCAGCCGTGCCCTGCCCCGATTCACCTCCACTGGCTGATTGGCCTCCGCAGCAGGGGCGACTTGTCAATGCCGGCTTCAGCCTTCAGCGCTTCTGCCTTCTGCCTTCACAGCCATCGGCGGGTGGACAAGGGAGCTATACTGTGCCACAATTGGGGAGCAGAGACCAGGGACCAGAGAGACACAGTTGTTCTAGGGTCTGGCCCAGGGGCACTGCTGGCGTGGTCGCGCAGGAGGCCCGTCGACTTCATGCAGTGCTGGTGCAAGGTCGGGAACCACCGCAAATCCCATGCTTTTGCCATACGGATAGAAGGTGTGGAACGTATGGTCCCAGTCGAAAGTTGGTCTAGAAGGCGTTTTGGCGCCCTCCGCCGCAGCGGGAAGCTGTTATCGATGGCGATAGAGTTGCTCCCATGCGTGTGGCATGTCGAAGTTTAGCTTAATCTCGACCTGGCGCCTCCGCAGTAGCAACAGCAGCAGCAGCAGCTGTCCATCGCCCGGCAGTCGGAAGATCTGACGGATCATGGGCATGATGTCTGTACTGAGCATCCGTACGCATGCACGACACCGGACCGGAGAGTTGCTGTATGACTAAAGCCGAGAGTCAAGAAATGCTAGAATGGAAAGAGAAAAGGCATGGATCGATAAACAGGTCTGGGGCTTCCATCATGGCCTGTTCATGGTTTGGCCACTGACGGATGATGATGCTGGGGTGAGGGAGGGGGAGGGGCAGAGAGTGACGATTTGGGGCGAGCGACCTTTGCTGAGATCTGCGTAAACCATGAGACGGGACTGAGTGAGGTGAGAGAGAAGAGAGCAAGAGCAGGTTGTGAGTGAGTGGGGTGAGTGAGTGGGGTGACTGATTATGAGTGTGAGTGTGACGGTGAGATCGGTCAGTTACGGACTGGCAAACGGTTGCCCCGCTGTTAGTGATGGGGCAGGGCCACTGTCCACCTTATGGAAAAATTGGTCATCCAGGTGGAAGGGAAAGAGAACCTTGAAGGTGCTGACTGCCCAAGTACGTACTCAAGATGCTGCCTTCCCTGTTCTGGTGTGAGAGGTGGGCAATTGCGGTATGCCCTGTGTGAGAGATAAAAAGTGCGAGGTGTGGTAGCTTCCACGGCAGGTGGGCTGCAGCCTGCGGAAGTGGCAGTTGCACACTGTGGGCTACATGACTTGATGCCTAAATTGTCAGGTCCACAAAAGTGACATTCGGCATGCGGTCTGTCGCTTGATTCGCCTCCAAGCGTGCCAGCCGCCACGTTTCCGAATCCAGGCCAGAAGGTCAAGGGCCCATGGTCATTTCTCGGTTATTGTTTTTCTTTTGCACCAGACCAGGGGTCTAGCGACCAGTCATAGCGGCACCTAGATCCACCCAGTGTCTGCATGTCACTGGCTCACAGCCCTGTGTGTGCGTCGACGGGTGCGTGTGTGTTGTGTGTGTGTCTCTCTCTCTTTTTGCAAGGAAGGTTAGGTACTTACACAGGAGGCAGGGCAGGCACCAACACGTAGGTACCTTGCCTTTCCTGTAGCAGCGGGGGAGCAGAGGGCCACTGCCTCGTTGTCCATCATGCATCCCGGGGCTCTAACCTCCTGCAGCAGTGTGCAACTATCACCTTTCATGTGTACGTACCCAATGGAAGTGGAGGATCTTTGGGGCCTTGGGCAATGTCTCTGGCACTCTGCCACATCACAGTGTGGATGGCGGACAGTGTGAGCAGCCGGCGACATTGTTTGGGTCGTCCATGGCTGGTAATCCCACGCTGGAAGGTACGTATCCGCAACTGGATGCTAGATCGAAGCCTCGACAATTCATTTGTCTTGCTGCCGCCGTGCAGTTGTGCAGACTCCAGACCGCTGGTGGTACCGTGGACCGACTTTAGTGGTGCGTGAGGTGGTGGGAAGGGAAGAAGCGAAGGAGATGGGACAAGAGAGATACTGGTAGAAAGAGAGAGTGGGCGGGTGGTCCGTTGCACTGTTCCAGCTGCAGCTCGTCCTCTGCCGTTCAGTCTGCCCACCGCCCAGTGCACACAATGCATCACGCAGTCCCGTCCGTTCCAATGTTTCCCTCCCCTTCCCTCTTCCCCCATCTTTAGTTGGCTGAGGGCTGGCTCTCCCCCCAAAGGTTGGGATTCGGCCAGACCAGGGCCACCCAGCAGAGAGGGTCGGGAGGGTTTCACTTTGGACTGAAGCAGACAGGCGGGCGCGCTCGACAGTCGACCTTTCGATGCTCTCGTGGCTCTGATCGGAGTACACACTGTGGGTGGGCGGACGACATGAAGCCAGCCGAGTCTGAGGAACCTGGGAAGCAGACTCCCACCGTTGGATTCTCCGTACGGTGTTTATTGCAGCGTGGGAAATGGGAAACACTAGGCTGCGTTTCTCGTGTTTCTGAACATCAGACTGCGCCAGTTTAATGCCCCTGTGGGAGCAGTAGAGCATGCGATAGATCAAGAGTAACTACGGAAAAAAGACGATGCCATCGTGCGTGCATCCCAAAGGTTCTCTGTCTTTCATCAGATATTGCACCGCGTCAGCCCAAAGCATACTGGCAAGTTTGCCGAACTTTGGGCGGGACTACCTCGAGGACAATGACAACAAGAATACCATCCGCCACGGAGGGTTCTTTAGCGTCGCCTGGAATTCCGGACGAGGTCGGAGAGTGCTGAAGTGCGTAAGGCTTTGCGGATAATGGGAGGGATGAAGAAGAAAAAAGAGGGACGCCGAAGCGTACGGGCGAAGACTGGACGAGAGCAAGACACACGCCGTTGGTCGGACCACGGCCAGGACCGAGAGTCCCCTAGGCAAGACAAGCCGCAAGACCGCAAGAGGAGAGGCGAGAGAGAGAGTATGGTCACTTGATCACAAAGGAGAGACATCTCGATACAGCCTGGGGTGAGGCACCATGGCATTCACCGGGGGGGGGGGCGACACTACTGGCTAGGTACTCGAGGATTCTACAGTGACAACAGACTTACTGACAGACTACAGTGGCAGGGAGAGAAGGGGGGACGGTGGACGGTGGACGGTGGCACTGGGTGGATGCTGGACGGTGCAAGATGGGAGGGAGGAGTGCTGTGCCCCCCTCAATCTCATCCACCGTCCGTATGGTGTCTCATCTCTAATCTCGCTCTGTTCTCTCGTACCGCAGCAATATTGAATGTGCTCCTGGTTGATTCCCCATCAATCACCACGCACACTGGGGTTCTGGAATGACAGGTGTGGGCAGCCAATCTCTCGCATGGCCGCAAGCGGTACCAGAATTGTAAACAAGAACAAGAACAAGCGACTGGCGCCGGCGACTCTCCGACTCAGGAGGCTTTTTTTTTGGGGGGGGGGGGGGAAGGAGTTTCCTTCGCGGGCTGTCAGCAACGTGAAAGGGCTGTGATTGAAGAAAAACAAGGCCCACAGTGCGTCCTGCAACGGGCAGACTCGGTACCTGCATGCCACGCATCAGCTTGCCCTGCGTCCATGTTCCGACGTGGAATGCCTCAGATGGGGACAGATGGGAAAGAGGAAGGGGAGGAAGGAGGGATGCAGATTGACCGTCTGCCGAGACTGACGGTGAGATGTGTGTGTGCCAGACTGAGATGGGTATTGAACTTTGGAGTGAGAGTGAGAATGAGAACAAAAGTGAAAGTGAAAGTGAAGATGAGAGAGAGCATGGGAGGACCATACTCTCTGTGATCCCGCCAGCCATGCTGGACAGACCCCCAGTGCATCCGCTGCAAATGCATTTCACCTCAGCATTCACTGTCGAACCCCCCGACCAGGTTCACCCAGGCTTGCCGGGCACACGTAACTCTTCGCTTCCCACATCTTGCCTGGTCTTCCCGCCCGCTGCGCAGTCACCTCACCGTTCAGTTCAACATACATTCAAACCCTAGTGTACCGTGTGTGTGAGTGTGTGTGCCCCAGTCTCATTCACTCACTCCATCGCTCGCTCACTCACTCACTCATCCATCGTCTCCCCCATCCAAATACGGCCAGCCCATGCCCCACCCCGACAATGTACTGTCCGCCGCACTGGTAGGGTTGACGGCAGCCGGCGCCACGCCCCAAATTTACACCAGCCCACTAAACCGCGCTAGTCCCTGATTGCTATAGTCTGAGATCTACCAGCCAATGGAAACAGGGTGGCGAACTCGCATATGGCGTCAAGGAGTGGAGTCACAGTATTCACTGCAGCTACACTGTCTTCTGATCATCTCCCATTGGGCAGCCTGTGGGTCCACCGCCGCCCCCCTTCCCTCCCAGTGTCCTCTCCTTGCCCTCCGTGCCCTCGTCGCTCCTCTCGCCTGCCCGCTCACCTTTCCACCGTCCTCCCACCCTTCCCACCGTCCTGCTCGAACCAACAAAACCATCGCTTTCTCCGGATTCCTCCCTCCCGATACTTTTCAACATCTCTCTCCCCCCTCTTTTCAGACGTACCTTTTTACTCCCACCGCAACATCAAAACCTCTAAACCACAAAACGCTTCCACAAACGATCATACATATCAAACCACCTAAAAGAAAAAGCATTGCTTTCTTCCAACGACCTTTTCTACCTTGAACCTATTCATCGTACACATTTTTTTAACCACTCGCACAACGTCGACTCGGCAGGTTTCATTGTTTGTGTTTCAAACTGCAATAATACCGCACAGCTCGGCTCGCCCACATAAGACCACCCGCACATCCGCCACACTGCTTCCCAACCAACAAAAAACGGCACCCCTTCTCCGACCTTCCACCACGACATCACCACGGCATCTACCTCCGAAACATTCATAGATAATGTCTTCATACTACCAGTTTAACCACCACCAGGCGCACCCCACCCCTGCCGTCCCTGGTGCCTCCCACAACCATCATGGCGGCCGCAATCGCAGAGCGCCCCGTCTATCCGTCTCCCAGAACCAGCACAAGCAGTTCCGCGGCGTGCGAAGCATGAAGGAGCTGACCGAGTCCGCTACTCTCAACGCTTTCCGCACAAAGTTCGAGGCTGGTCGCTCCTTTGACCTCGAGGATGACATGGAATTCTGCCCTGGCCTGTTGACCGACAGCGACGTAAGTATCTCGGAGCCTTGGATCTGTCTCTCATGATCCGGTGACTAATATTGGTCGCCCGCTGCAGATGAACTCCATCCACAGCTCTTCTGAGCGTTCGTCTCTGGCCAGCAACTCTCCCGAGTCCTCGCCGACGCAGCAACCCCAGACCGTCGCCCCTGGGTTCTCGCTGAACTCTTCTTCTCCCGCCTTCATCCCTCCCGCGTACCAGCAGTCTAGCCTCAAGCTTCATCAGCCTGCGGCTACCCGCGCCCGCAATGCCATTCCCATCGTTAACCCTGCCACCGGCATCACCATGTCGAGCCCGCCGCCTTCGGTTTCCCCCGCCAGGATGCAGCAGGGCATGGGTCGCAGATGGTAAGGAGTTGATCCCGCTCTCGTGACAGAGGGTTCGGGGTCACACTCCTTGCCTTTTGTGCCGATGCATGCTGATGTGTAAAATCTCTGCTCATTCGGCTTGTTTACACCGGTCATCTTGGGGGCACCGAAAAAAAAGAGGACGAAAAATGGCAATGGCATCGATGATTTTCTTTCTTGCGGGCTGGGTACCCCAAGCTAATGGCTAGACTGCCGGCGTGGTCTGGTCATCTGTTGGCTCAAACAACATTCCTCTCCTGTACAAACAACCTCAACGACATACCCTGTTTAACCGACAAAATCCCTAAGAGGCTTTTTTCCAACGGCGCGGAATGAGAAGTTATCAATACCATTTTCCCTTTTTCGGATACTTTCGACTACAAAGAAAAAAACTCGACAAAAATCTTTCGGTGTCCTTACCTCGCAAGATGAGGTTGGACTTGCACGAATGGCGTTTTCCACACGAATGGTTTTGCATTTTCACGACATGCATCGGTGTGAAATCACACCACGGCGGAGTTCTCGGATATAATTAATTCTTGGCATCTTTTTCACGGACAGCGGGACGACTTTTTTGTTTTCCAAGATGATTCAAAATTTCTGTTGCTCATCATGGTGCTCGACGGGTCACGAAGTCATTCCGGAAAAGATTATCTCGACATATAGAATGAGTGTCTTTTCAGCAACTTATTCGGAGCGGGGGGGCAACAGGTGTTTCTGTTATGGGCTCACATGGGAAATATCAAATGGGTGGTGGCGGGCAAAGACATGCGTTGCTATTGTTTTGCGGCAAATCTCCAAAGCTTGGAAACGGTACCGGGAAATACCTTTTTGGGAAAGGTGGAGTTGGTTATGAATTTTGGGTGCGGCCTGCTGGCGAACCTCTGCATTGTTACCTGTTTTGGTTGAGCGATGCGGACGGGGATCGCGGAGTCCTTTGTTGCTTTCTTGCGCCTCTTCTCTCATTTCATTATTCGAGGATGGACTATTCTTACTACTATTGCTCGATATGCCGGCGGTGCAAGTCTAGCACCTCGCGACACTGGAAACGGTTGGTGGTGGAGTCATACCTTGTCTGGGCACTTTCGCAAGCATCCCGGAAGAGTTGTGTGTTTCTTGGGTAGTGGTTTTGAGACGATAAATGGCTCTTGTGGTTTCTGGGTCGGAGAACGGGATACCTTTTGGGGTTGTACAGGAAACGCTCAAGATGCGAAATGGTGTTGAATGGGATTAGACCAAGCTGTCTGATCTTGTGGCGCGAAGCCAGCAAGGCGCAATGCAATATACGATATGTTCATCAAAGCTTGCCTATCTTGAGTGTCATGCAGTGACTGCCAACCGTGTGATTAAGTGACGAGCCACTGGTAGGTTCAAATCACGGTGACAGGACCGACGCTTGGTGAAAGACGAAATGCGACCAGTGAGATTTGAAGTCTTGCTCAACGGCATCAGGTACATCTCACGACTGTTAGAATAAAGAGATGACTGCATGCCGTCCTCATGCTTACTACATACTACCCCTTCTTGAACCGTGATATTTGCTGATATATTGCAAAATATCATAAGACGACTGCTATGGAGCTGCGTGAGATGGGGGTGAGTAAATCGGACATAGATTACCGACCCGGACTTCTCTCAAAACCCCCTTTGTTCGCCGAGAGGAGGGGACGATGGAGAGGCGGGGAAGAGCTTGAGCCGAGAGCTGAGCTCGGGGATATGGGGTTGAAGGTCGGGTCATTTGTGCAGGAGAGTTTAGCATGGAGGGTGTTATCATTGTTTGGTTGCGATTGCCCTGTGTACGAGGTATGATTCTGTAGGCGCCGGATGTCTCTATGGAGGGCGGTTAGGGAAAGAGAGGTAGATGGATTTCACTTTTTGTTTTCTGTATCGGTTGGATTTCCTGTCAGGGGCGTTGAGGAGGAGGTCTGGTGTGCGGCGTGCCTGGTGCCTGGGTCGCGGCCCGGCTTCATTCTGGGCTGGAGGGACCTGAGGTGCCTTGCTTACCCGCCGCTTGAGTTTCTGCATGGTGCCGCGAAGGGAGAAGGGGGGGGGGTGGTTGGCGGGGATTGAGTGCTGCAAGTAGGCGATGAAGGTGAGGTGAGGTGAGGTGAGGTGACCTGCCGCTTGATGCTCTTGATGACTTTTGAGTATCGCTATCACTGTGACTACTATTCCTCTTCTTCACGGCGGGTTTACTACCGCGTGTACGGATTCGATAAGCATCATCATGGTTTGGAGAGTGGGAGGGGGAAGGTCACGGTCACGTGATGGGCTTTGTCTTGATGAGAGAGGTGGGGAAGCCAATGATGACGATGCAGCTGGGCAGCAAAGCACGGAGCGTGGATTGCCAGAGTGGAAGAAAAAGCCCGTCATGGGTATGATTCCGTGGTGGGGTCTACCGCCAGGGGTAAGGGAGGAAGGAAGGTCTGGAAAATAGAGATTTGGCCAGCTGGTCATGGAGAAGCCCGTGAGATAAAACGACTATAGAGGCATGTTGGTCCGATGACGACGGATGTGAAGGACATTCCATCACAGGCTCCAAGTTGAGCGACGATGGTTCATTGATGATGTGACGGTGGGCTTGCAAATGGTCGACAGGCAGTTGGTCAATGCCCCCGCCCTCGTCTTCTGCAACTCTCTCCTTCCCATTCTGAACGGGCAATTTGCGGGGATACAGCGATGCTTCCAGCCATTCGGGTTGCTGCGCTGCTGCAACCAGCTGGGGAAAGGAAAAAGCTCGGTCCTGAGGAGATGTCACCATGTACCTAATTGGGGAGGGAGAGCATGGAATAGTGACGTCAGGGCCGGGTCAACGAAGCGGCGCGCCGCATGCTTGGGCGGCGGCTGCTTCTCGTCTAGCTAGGTAGTTTAACCTAGGTTATTGCTATTGCTCTAGGTACATCTATTCCTTCTTGAGCTCTTTACCGAATTGTCGTGACTTCGTTCCTCCTGTTTAATATCTCACTGACGATCGATTCTCTTCCATTCAATTGAATCTGCCTGCAACCACGATACGATAATCCATCCTACACCGTGATACCCTCCCCTCCTCTACCACAAATCAAAAAACCAAATACCTACGCAACAATGGCTTCCCGCATCGCTCTGTCAGCTCGCCCCATCGCCCGCGGCGCTTTCGTCGTCGGTAGACAGACTGCTTCTCTCGGTCGGGGCTTCAGCATCTCCACGACGAGAACGCAGGGTCTGAAGGAGTCTTCTGGACGTGAGTTTACTACCTATTCCCCTTTTCACTTGCTTCCTTTTCACACCAACCGAATGATGCATGGCAATTGAGCTTGAAGTATTCACTTGGTGATGTTGCAAGCTTCGATGACGCCTTCATTGCGAAACACCAACCCTTCCCACCCATGAAACAACTCTTCCTTTCCTGTCTGTTGGAGATGGCAGCTAACACTCCCCGTCAAAGACACCGACAGCGAGACGCACGAGAAGCACAAGCAGGACTCCCTCTCCAAGCAGAAGCAGGGCAAGGGCCACTGGAAGCCCGAGCTCGCCTCCGACAGCGAGGAGGCCATCAAGGCGGATCGCGACGAGCACCTCGACCCCAAGAAGTTGCAGGAGCAGACTGCTGGCAAGGCGTCATGAGGATGAATGTCCGCATACTTCTCGCCACACCTCACCTTGCCTTCTGCTTCAATGAGGCATTAGGAGGTAGCGAGAATGAAGCAGAACACAGTATGCCGTCACAGCTTTTGTGAGCAGACACACACATAAAACAGATACATGGGTTCTGCGGGAGTTGTTCTAGGACTCCTTGGGACTGGGATTGACTGTTGATGAAAATGCATGCGGGCTGCGTTTGGAAGAAGGCTTGATGGATTTGTCAATGTAATCGTATTAGCATCGCGTTGGGACACTAATTGATTCTTGTCCACGTTTACGACTGAAAGGTCTGTCCATGGCGTCTTGAAAGTGACCAGAAGCATTCACACAGGATTGAAGTGCTCGTCTGGTACCTACGAGCCAGACCTGACGCCTCGGTCGCTGCTATCTTGTATGTCAGTTGCAAAATCCCCCTTCGTCATCCTCGTACTTTGGGAGACCGCATGGTCCTTCTAGTATGGAAGTCGACTGCCTAGCCTCTCAACTGGTATAAGTACACCGAGCTTTCGCCAGACTAAGCTGACTGGACACCGTGTTGGAGCGATCAACCATAGTAGCTGGCCGATCATGCCCTTCTTCTCCGCAGAGGATGTAGGTCATGGGCGTGAGGATTCCTTCCCCAAGAACGTGCCTCCCACTGGGCTTTCCGGCAGTGCTACGGACCATTAGGTATCATAGTTCCTGCTTGCTTTCTGAGTATACTGTTACGTATATAAGGAAAGTGATGAGAAGGTCATGATATCAGTAAATGGAAATTATTAACCTGTAGTCAAAAGATAGAGGTGTTGTACTGCAAATCAGCTTCAAGATTTCGGTCTTAACCAACAAATCAATGGCTTGTTCACGTAGAACGGGAACCTGACTTTGCGGAAGACATTAGCAGACTGCCCAGTTGCCGGCTTTAAATACCTGAGACGGTAGACACAGACGATATTGGGCCTCCCTCTCATCAGTACCATCGCACCAGTGGAGTTGCTAGTAATTGCCTTCAGGAGGGTCCCGATACTTGTAAGTCTTGATATAGCGCGCGCAGCCCTTTGGTGTTAGACTTGCAGATCTTGTAATGGCATAGATCTGGGAAGACGGAAATCCCAGTCCAGCATGGAGATTAGAAGGAAGGGTGGCGAGGTGTTGAAGGCGAATACAATGTATAGACGATGCCTATAGACGGAACGAATTGGCAAATGGTCTTCGAGACATTATAAATACATTCAACTCTATGGTCTGGCGGAATGAAACACTCTAGAGGAGCTAAGAGTCTATTGATGCCGTGAACGTTCGTAAGGAAATGAGAAAAGGGACATGTTTCTAACAGCGAGCCGCCTAGTCTATCCAGTCTCGTCTCTCTATACTCCTAACAGTATGCACATACGGCTATAGATAATACGAACACGAAATTGACTTTCTTAATTCGCTTAAAGAGGGTGCGAGTACACTTGATCAAGAGATTTGTATCATCTTTGGCGCGGCCCAGAAGGTCAAAAATATCACATCAGAACCACGCTGTGCTATACAGGAAGTCTCTCATACCAGACTTCTCGTCCTTAAATAGGTGGCACAAGGTTTATGACATGGTAGAATCTCTACCAGGAAGGCCCGTTCTGTTATTCGTTCAAAGTGCTTCACCGACTCTCGCGTGCCATGCGCACCATCCCATGGTGCCCTTCCACAACCACCATGCTCTTGCTTGGTGACTCAATCCACCGCTATTGTCTAATCTAGCTTTGGATACTCAATAAAGCCAACAGAGTCCACCTCCTCCCCAGACTCCCCATGCATACCCACAAACGAGCGGCCCTCATCTGGCACAAACGTAACACACCGATCATTCGTCCTCGACCCAACCTCCAGGACCCGGCCCAAACTAGTCGACGCACGAAAGAACCCGACGCGGTCCTTCTTCTTCTTCCGGCCGTTGCACACCTCCGTCTTGATCCAGTACTCCCCCTCCTCGAGCGTCAGCTCCTTGAAATTCCCGCCGCCGCCGCCGTGCTCCTGCGCCCCGTCGACTCCCCCGTCCATCTTGACGCCGAGCGCGTCGACCCGCGCGGCGCCGCGGCCAAAGATGGAAACGACGCGCACGCTGTCGAGCTTGGCGAGCTCGGTGCCGTCGTTGAAGGAGGTTGAGCTGCCGGCGGGTGCGCCGCGGTAGATTTCGCGAAAGGTGAAGCCCACGTCGGCGAACTGGGAGAGGTCAATGTCCGAGACGATGGGGACGGTGGTCCAGCCTTTGGCGGCGGCGAGCTTCTGCACGAGGAACTCGGCGGCGGGTTTGGCGGAGGGGCGGTAGTCTCTGTGGCCTGGCATCACGGCGCCGAGGGGTAGACCGTTGCGGCTGTGGTCACATGGTGTTAGCGAAATCGTCTCAGTGCCTTCATATGAAAAGTTGGCGAGGATTGAAGACTCACCAGACCGGGTCGAACTTGTTGCAAAACATCTGCACCCTCTCCGGTGCCAGACCGGGTATCGTGTTCTTGTTGTACACCTGCATAGTGTTGCCAAACGTGACGGCGGCCACGATGCGGTCCTTGTATTCCGATCCAAGCCTGTCCGAGATCACCCTGGAGAGCATCGCAGCGCCTTGGCTGTACCCTCCGACGACGACATCAGAGTCGGAGCACTGGTCCATGTACTCGCGGATCTGTGTGCTCGCGCTGGTGACCTCGCGCGGCCGGCACAGCTGGTTGTTGATGCAGAGGTTGTCCTGCAGCGTTGCGGAGTATTCAATGCCCTGGATGGCAATCTTGTCCGCGCCTAGGGTTGAGCGGAGGTACGCCGCGAGTTGAGGGCCCGGTTGCAGTCCCTGTGATGGACGAAATCCTGTCAGTTCTCAATGCGCTCAAGGTGAAGACACCACTGAGGCTTCGTAAGCAGGGTCTACTCACCATATTCGGCTGTTGAGTGCTTCCGCGGAGGAAGAAGAACATGGTATCCTTACAGGTGCCATCGCGCACCTCATTCTCCAAGACACCTTTGTCTGATGAGCCCTGTTGTCGGTTTTGAAGAGAGTGAACGGGTTGGCTTGCTTCTCCTACGTAGTCGCTTCGTGGTGTTACTCTTGCCAGGCCTGGGGTCAACACGCACTGCAAGGCGAGTATGATGGCTGTGGATCTCTTCATGATGATAACGAACGTGTTGTAATGAGCGTATATGGGTTAGTACCTGATCAATTCTTGCTTCCTTCTCAGGAAGCACCACTAAATGAACAGAAACATATTGAGAACTGTCATATGCAAAGACACTGGTTTCTGCAATGTCTATAAGTTACGTTTCCTGAAGCTTGGACTGTCCAAAGTGGAATCGCCAATAAGAGCGAGTGTTTTCCCTTTCGCTTCAGCAATTAATATTAAGGAACGTCAAATGAGCGCCAATGTTTTTTCAACCTTAATTGATTGTATAAAAGGGCCATACCTTAAATTGTGGACGAACTCTTTCAATTTCATTGCTTTACCTGACGGCTTGTCCGGCAACTCCAGGGCTGCAGCTCGGAGGGATCGGACAGCCGTGATCTGCGATCTTGGACTCACTTTTCCCCTAGAGAGGGCATGCATGCATCAAGTGGTCCCGCGCTGAGATCTCTTGCTCTGGTCGTCGGTGCGAGACACTTGGACAGAAACTACTTCTATTTCTCCATTCTATAAGGTAGTCAACCACTCGCTCGTCTCCCCTCTGCTGGTTGTGTGAAAAGAGTGTACGGCCGAGAGCCTAACTTCGCCATGCAGACAAAGAAGATAGGCTTTCGACCAGGGACTACTAGGAAGTCTCATGGGTTCTCCCTGACAGCGCGAAAGAGGACATTTCCGCTATTGGCAATACAGTTCTGGCAAAGAGTTACGTGCCCCCTTCCGTGAAAGGACTCATTGTTGCCGAACAGCATCAGGTAGACGGCATTGACGCGACGATTGAACAGGGGGCACCGGCTTCAATCTAGCGCCTTGTTTCGTGTGTATACCGTTAGTCATACGAGCATGTTGACTAGAGACGAGGTAGATGGAGTGCTTTGAATAGGATGGATGCTACCGACTTTGACAACGGCCAACCATGATTATGACGGAGTATTGGTTCACGACTTCGGAGGAGCTGCAGGTAATATCGCTCTGTTATTATCAAGGGCGGGCGGAGACCGTACTTGTTTGGCGCATTCGGTCAAGTAACTCAGCCATGAAGGCCTACGTAAAATTCACAGCCGTGGCCAAGGCTAAGGTAAAGGTCGAGCTTTTGCTTTCCAGAATTGACCAGTGTGATTAATAGTCGCTGTGGCATCTTGAACAGCATTCGGACGTGAAGCAATATTAAAATTACGCTATTACCCTCAAGTGTGTCTCAGGGCCTACCAGCTTTTTGTTATACTAGTTCCTTACTCGAAGCAGGCAAGTAATCGTTTTATAGTCTGCCAACTGAACCGTATCGTCTCTTCTGCTCTGACAACCATACTCCTTGTGATTGTGGTTGTGGCTTCTCTAGCATAAGGCCTACATCTCTGGATGGACTGTACCTATTCTCTCTCATCTCATACATCAGATCATGATCAATGATCCGGTTGCAATCCGCGTCTCTCCAAAGAAATCTGTACGATCCAGCAGCATACTAGGTTGGACATGCTGACGTAGAATGGCAATACGGCAATCTCCAACGGCAGATCTGTTGATGCGGATTCGCTCGCTCCGTGGTAGGCGAACAAAATAGCTAGGCTCAAAATACATACGACCATACTTCCCACGACAGTTAGCTTGACGCATCAAAAATACTCATACATTGCAAATGACTTACTATGGCAACTTGACTTCATACTTTCTGACTGTGGAAAGAGTAAAAGACTGATTGATCCGAACGAGTATGAGTGACAATCTTTCTGAATGGTCAGATTCGACTGGTCTCTTGGAACATCGACACGTCGCCGGGACTTACAGTAGACAAACCGCACCGTTGGCCTTGGGATCGTGGACGAAGCAGACGTGCGTCAGCGACGCAGTTAATAATGCCCAGAACCCGGCGTCATATTGCCGGGTGTAACGTATGACAACCAACCAGCCGCCTAGCACTAGGCAAAGGAGGACTTGGGCCAGAAGATTGAGATCGAGCTGCCCGACAACTTTGTCAAGCATGCTGTCGTTTGCCAGCGTGCGCGTCTCAGTAGCGCCGCTGCTCCCAGACGGGACCGGGTGCGCCATCGCCCCCGAGAAAAGAGACATCAGTAGGTAGAGAACCAGAAAAAGGCCGGCCGGTCTGAATCTGACCATGAGACGAATCCTCGTGGAAATCCTGAGCTGGTCATGGGCTGGTATCTCCGAAAGAGCCTTGCGTGTATTTTGCCCCTGGAGCTCCCGCTGTTGTATTGAAGCCCCATTCCCTTTGCCGGGTTTGGTCAATTCAACTCTCTCGTAGATGAAAGAAAATATGACGGCATCCTCACTGACGCGAAGAGATTGAGCCGAGGAAGTACCGACTGGATAGTGGTTGTTTTGTCAGTTACGAGTTGTAAGACGCCAGTAGAAGGAGGATATGAAAATGGGCTAGGAACGGTCCTTCCACGTACGGTGCGCATTATCTGGCTTCTCGTCCATCCCTGGCTTAGGGATGGTCTTTGGTCCATCGGTCCGGATCTGGAGTTCCCTCTGGATCTTTGGGGCCATGGTCTTGGTGTCGAAGTGCATACCCGCACTTGGTTCCGGCATTGGGTTCCTTTGCGGTACTCTACGTGCCTGTGCGCCATGAGCGGCTGCTCTGAGATCTTCCAAGTGTCTATCCATTCGCACAGGTACATCCGTGAATGCGTCCAGGATGCCGGGTCTTCAAGGGCGCCAGATGGTACATGAAATGAAGAACGCCCTCGCGAAGATGTCTGAATCTTGTACGCTATTTGTTAAACAAGTAAGGAGAGAACGAACGATGTTATCGATGATGCAAGGTAAGGTAGAAAATGAGTTTGAGAGCAGGGTCCCAGAAGTAAGGCAGATAATAGTGTAGATACGCTGGTGTCGTGAAAGCCAGGTATGCAACCATCTCCACCGAGAGAGAGCTTTTTTGTCTGACGCGTGGTTGAATGGCAGCCATTCAGATACCCCAACCACGCGCCCTACGTGAGGCAAAAGGCCATGGCCCATAAGAATACCGCACTGCATATCGAGGCGAACTCCTAGGTGGCGCGGCCAATGGTTCGCTCTCAAGCTGTGATCTATGCAAACTGGTAAATTGTGGTAGCGCAACGGCCCAGGGATAGGTTTGACCAGTCCTAGCCAACCCTTCCAGACGGGGCTGCGACGAGTTGACAGATATGTTATATAGTAATGGGCGACGCTGACATTCCCAGTCCCAGCCCGACCATGCATGCACATAAGCCTTACCATGCCCGACTGAACCTGGCTCACGCAACCACCACCACCACCACAGCCACAAGTCCGGGATTAGAAAGTGCACTTTTCTCGTCACCCTGTCGTTACGCGATCTTCCACGTCTTTGTTTACATGCAAGAAACATCTCTCGACCATAACAGCCAAGGGAAGTTCACTGACGACACGCGTGCCGGCGGGACGCTCCAGAGGGTTCGACAGACGTGGCATTTTATGATTGAAAGCACCGAGACATACACAAATTGACGAGTGCGGCTGTGAGACTGCGAGTTTTCAAATCGACCATGTGCAACGACACTCAAAATAGCAAGTTGAGTGGGATGCGGCGCTTAATCGCGACGGCTATTGCGGGAATGGTGTCTGTGATATCATCGCTATTCCTCAAAGACGTCATACAAGTCTACCTCATTGAAACTTATGAGATGAGTCCAAGATCTTCTACAGCTTTCGGTCATGAAAGGGTTAGTATCTAGATAGAAAGGAGACAGTGTCCGACCGACCTGCTAAACGAATCAAATAGGAACCGGGGCAAGAGCCTCATCTCTCAGCAGTCGTCTGCTTGCTTATTTTCAACATTTACTCCATCTCGACCTACTCCTTCAGCTTTCTCAGACGAAAGGACCAGTGGAAGAATCCGATCGTTGCATGCTTTTTCGTGGTCAGCGTTGTTGCCGCATGCCTGAGAACGGCGGCGCTAGGAGATAGCAAAAACAGCCTTGCGTATACGATCGCCACAGCGCCGCTTCTGCTCCCGTTGGGTCTTTGGTTCAGCGCCATAACTCACTCGATGTGGGATCGCTGGTCTATGCGGCCTGGTGATGGGAAAGCGCCGCGTTGAAAGTCGCCCAGAGATCATTACGAGGATGTGTGTACAAGGGACAAAGATACAAGGGGAATTATCGAGAGACATTGTCTGTCTGTACCAACAAAAAACCTTCGTTCTCGCCCGAATCCTGAAGCATCGAACAGTCCATCAGCGAGTGGAATAAGTCAAAAAACCACCCACATGCCTACTCCCGCAAAGCCGCTCAGTCCAACACATCCTCCGCCTCGCCAATCTTCTCAATCTTGCCCTTGGACAACAAGAGCACAGCATCCCGTCCCGGCCTCATGCCTTCCGTCACGCCGCCCAGCCTGTGCGCGATTGCTATTACGGTGTGGCCCTTGTCTGTGAACTCCTGGTATATGATATTGCGTATGGCAGATTCAGTCTCGGTGTCGAGCGACGATGTGGCTTCATCCAGCAGTAGGACCGGCATGATGTGTCGGCCTCCGGTTCCGTTTGCTGGTGATTCGGACGTTTGGATGATGGAATAGAGTTGAACGAGCGCTCTAGCTAGTGCGAATAGCTGCGATTGGCCAGTGGACATTTGCGGTAGGGAGGACAGTGGGCTGTCTAGGGTGTTGCGAATTTCCTCCTCAGATGAAGTGTCTTGTAGGTGAAAGTGTGATAGAAGGCTGACCCTCGCAAGGGCTGAGATGATGGCTTCATCTGGGAGAGAAGTCGACGGCTGGGAAGTTGATAGGTTAGCAAGGATCTCTCACAATTTTGAACAGAGAATCGCACATCGAGGTTGAAGCGGAGACTGGCATGTCCCAGTATGAATGACTCTTGAGAAACCGTGATGAAGCATTTCTGTCGAATCAGAGAACGTGGCACGCGACGTAGGTCGACCCCGTCGATCTTAATGCTTCCAGCGTCCGTATCAAGAAGACGTAGGAGTGTGAGTAGCATGGTACTTTTACCGCTGTATTTCAACGTGTCAGCCGAGACAGGAATATGATCTATGGATGCAGCCATGTGCAACATACCTGCCCGTTCGACCACAAATGATCAACTGCTGGCCTGGAGAGGCCTTCAAGGTAATGTCTCGCAAAGCTACTGCGTCGGTGCTGCAAAGAGAGTCAGTCTACAGAGGCGGCTGCATTGTTGACAGTTGCCCTACTTGTATGAGACGGTGACCTTATCAAATTCAACAGATCCAGATGATGGCCACACCTCAGTGGGCACAAAGTCCTCGTGCGGCTGATCCTCTTTCGGCGTATCGGCCTCCAAGGCCTTCAAGCGGGATCTGCCGAGCCATCAGCAAATCAGTCAGAAAGACAGGGAGGAAGAGAAAGCATACATGGCACCTAGGGAAATCTCCATATTCGTCCAAGATGTCACGAGGCTAAGAAGCGTCGCGTTCGCAGCCAACACAATGTTCAACGCCATACCAATCTGACCGGCCGTCGTCGTTCCCCTCACAAAAATTGCGAGTGTGATGAGGCCGGTGGCAATCGCAGCGACCATGAGATCCAAAACGATGCCCAGCCACTGTTGAAGACAGAAGAGGATGTACGCTGGCTTCTGCGATTTATCAAGACAGACCACGTTGGCATGCTCGGCTTGTTTCTCCCAACCAAAGGCTCGGATGGTCGTGACGCCCTCAACCTGCATCGTTGTTAGTCGTCACGCACTTATCCAGAAGGGTAGATGAAAGCGGTACTGATTCGAGGAAGCTCGAGTAGACTGCTGACTGCGACTCGAGATCTAGCAGACGCAATTGTCGCGAGGTGCGCAAGTACACCCGCTGCACGAGATACACGACCGCGGCGCAAAGGGGAAGCGATAAAACCAGCAGCTTTTGTGCGCTGAATAACAGCACCACCTGTACGAGCAGCTTGAAGACCTCTGTAACCAATCATGAGTAATGGGAAGTGAGTCTTGAGTCAAGGAGGCTTACGATTCGACATGGACATGATGGCTGGCGGCAACTGCTTATCTACCAGTTGTATATCCTGGCTGAAACTGTAACGGCTTAGCACATGCTATGGCTCATTAGGTAGGCATTGCGACGAACCGATTCAATGTAACTCCTGCGTCAGTCTTTGAGAAATACGATAGCGGAGCACTAATCTTGGTCAGTAGATGTAGACGGCAACAGACGAAGTGAGTGAGAATGCACGAACCTGACGATAGTTGAGAGCAGGCGGCGGTGCAGTTTGATGCCGGAAGCGGGTGCGATCAGGATCTGGGTTGACCTTCAACTAGGTCAGTTCAGGGTCAGCGATCTAAACTATGCGTACTCACCACATCGTACCGCTGGTAGCGATCCATGCTAGTAAAGACGAGATGAGGTAGCCGCAAATATAGAATGTTGTCTGGGATACTGGCGCCTCTGTCCACTTTTGTAACCAGTACTGAGGGAACGTTACGAAGAAAGAGTATGTTGAGGTGCAAGCGAGAAGAAGTAGGATATGCCGAAAGCCTACAGCCCGGAAATAGTATCCTTATGGGGGATAATTGAGTTAGCATTCAAACGATGAAGTAAGTAGAACATACCATAAAGAGAGATGTCTCCCGTTGCCCTGCTGAGATCAGAAACAGCCTCGGCCATCTTCAAGTTTTGGCTCTGCACGGTCTTGTCCACTTGGGGCTGCTCCACGGCCGTGTCGCTCTTCGAACCCTCGATATCAATTGCCAGTGAGGAGTACTTGGGATGCTGCTTCAGACCATCCCACGTCCCCTGGTACGCAATAGCTCCACCACCGAGAATAATCAGCTTGTCTGCCAACTTAAAATGCGCAGCTACAGACTGTTAGCCTTCGTGCAATCTCCATGCCAAAGCAACGTAGAAGGCGTACTAGAATGAGTGACAAGGAGGACAGTTGTGCCCGTCTTTTTGAAACAGCCTGCAGAACCGAGCAGGTTCTCAACAACGTGACTTCGTGTTCTACCGTCGAGTGCGCTGAAGCTGTCGTCTAAGATCACGATCTCACTGCGGGCATATATAGCTCGAGCAAGAGCCTTAATAGTTGTGGTCAGTAAAGTGAACCATTTGAATCTGAATTTTGACGCGACGATAGATATGGGGCGAAGAGAGTTGACGACGCAAACATACCACTCGCTGCCGTTGTCCTCCAGAAAGGTTCAAGCCTCGACTTCCTATCACGGTATTGTCTCCGCCGGGAAGTGCCAGGAGGTCCTCATCGAGACAGCATAGTTGAATCACCTCCTGATACCAGCTTGGCTCCTCGGGAAGAAAACCGCAGACTGCTTGTTTGAAGGTTCCGTTCGGCAGCCAAGGAGACTGCTCGCAGTATCCAATTCGCTTCGTCGACACAGATATTGTCCCAGAAGCCGGGGGAACCTCACCCAACAGGACTCTGACAAGCGACGTTTTGCCACTCCCAACGGGACCAGAGCACATGACTATCGAACCCTTTTCAATGACGAGGTTGAGATTGCTGAGGACCGGAGATTTCGATGTAGTGAGCCCTTGGATAGTGACGTCTTCTAAAGACATGGCGGGCGAAACGTCGACGAGGCTGTCTTCTGCTTTATCGAAAAGAAGTCTTTGGTCCTCTCGGGGTGGCTCAGCGAGATATTGCTGAATTCGTTCAAAAGCCGCCAGCGAGCCCACGGCTTGCGGCACGATGGTCATAATCATGTTGGCAGGGTGCGTCACCAAGCCGAGTAGCGCCGTAGTCGTGAAGGCGGTCTCAACATCGAGTGCGGAGCCATTGAGTCTCGCTACGATCACGTACAGAACGAGCGTGAGAATGGGGGCGAAGATACCGAGAGCGTTCGCTACAAGGTGTCAGGGAATGTAGTCATGCCTAATCATTAGATGAGACAACATACCACTCGCGTTATAAGCGACCATCAACCACCGAACTTTCTTGGCCATTTCTAGCTCCCGAAGGCGTAAAGAGAGGATCAGAGATTCCGTATGGTCTACGATCCCAAGCATTTTCAGACTCTTGACCGAGCAAAGCATAGACGTGGTCATGGCGATTCGGTTTTGAGTTGCCACGGACCAATTCTTTTGCTTGCTCTGAAGGTTCTTTGCCAGATATCGACTCACCCGAGAGCAGACTAAAGAGGTAGTTAATTTCCACTCTCAGTAAGCATGCCTATATTGCAACTCACAAAAGATCATGAGAAACGGAACCGCGCAAACGCATCCCACTCGCCGAGCCAGCATCACAGTGCCTATAGCGACTTCGATGATCTGCGCCCACGTCTCGTGGAACATAGAAGCCGACTGAACCACGTTGTCTGCGTCTGTACTCATCAAAGTAACCGCCTTTGCATCGCCGTAGCCAGTAGACCGCTGACTGAGCTGCTTGTTGTTGATGAGACCAACAACAGCGCCCCTGATCATAATCTTGAGGCGGTTGATACTGTGCTGGTAGGCAGTCCTCGCGATCTAGAGTGCGACTCAATATTGCACCTTACGGGGACCTCAGGCGACGAGACTTACTGCCAGACCCACATAGACAAAGACAGCCATCGACACAACCGAATAGCCTCCATCTTGAGATTCGTCGGATGACTTGCTGATGGAGCGGATGACAGTACCGATGAGAACCGGCTGAGCGTAGCGGAATCCGATGAGAACCAAGCGAGGGATGATGGGCGCAAGAAACTGCGGAAGTATACTACGCAGCAGAACTTTGGGCAGCATCATCCTTTTCTCGGGCTTGTCTATGATTCTGTTAGCAAAATTTGATGCGTTGTGCTACGCCAGCGGGGAAATAGGCGTACCTCTCTGGTCCCATGCTCGTAGGGCTCGTTCGCGTCGAACTTGCGATGACAGCTTGCTGTCCATCATTGGAAGGCAATCTCCAGTCAGAATGTACCTGTTGCCTCTGGCGAGAATCGGATTAATCCATCCAAAGAACGTGCGATCCAGAATATTGGACAATTCCTCTGGAGACCACTGATCACGAGGACCTTGCAGGATCGTTTGCTTTCCTCGAAGTTCAACAACAAGAAGCACGCCCTTGATGCAAAGACTCGCAATTGTCGGGGCGGCGCTTATGGCGGACCCATTGTCAAAGACCCCCGTTCCCAAGTCAACCAAATCGCACCCCGACGATGCAAGTAGATAGACAATTGCGAGATCCGACGGTCTGACGGACCTGGTGTGCTCCAACAAGAGCAGCGGGCAGAGGCCCACGTATGATACCAAGGATAGAATGGCAGAAGCTAGATTGAGCCTAAGTCGGGGCGTCGAGAGTGCTGTCGTAGCGAGTATAGTTGACTGTACCACAACCAAGATGATGCTGACGATCTAGCTTCAGTTTAGTTTGGTTTCCAGGAAACTGTATCACTCATCACTACGCACAACTTTGCCATGGCCGTGGTGTTCCGGAATGACCTTGATCGTTTCTTTGCGAAGCTTCGATAGACGGAAGGGCAGCAACAGCAGAAACAAGGCTGATGCCGTGGTCGACAAGATGAGCGAGGTTGACAGCATGATAACTTGAGCTTAGCTCTCCGTCAATCTCATTCTCCCCTTTCCCTCGTGTCGGGTTCTTCTCTTTCTATTTGAGCTTTTGTGCACCCAGAAGTAGCTGTGATTGAGGTAAGATACCAAAGACAGAATCAGTCCGCTGGATTATTGTTGTTTTGAGCGTCATGGGTCTTGTCAGCCGCGTTCCTTCCAACCGTGTTTGGTGAATATGGGGTCTGGATTCCCTATCCAGGACCAACGACAGTAGACCTCCAAGACCTGTTGGAGTGATTTAGGAATGCGATGGCCGGTGAGTTCCATTCACGGAGCAATGTACAAGTGGAGCGCTTGGCGAGGTTGGATACGATATTTTGGTGTAGGCGAGATGCACAAAGCATACGAGGTCTGTTTACTTGCTTGAAACCAACAACTTTATTCCACGCGCGGCACAGCTGCAGTCGTCCCTATTTGACCCTGGTCACCTTCCCTGTTGGAGGAACAGGGCCGCGTCCCCTGCATGAAGTAAGCAACGCTTCCCCATTGGTATCGGCAAGTCCGGAAAGATAGAGATGGCGCGAATTGCTTCAATTTTGCATCAAAGGCGTATGTTTATGAACTTGACGCTGCTGGTACTCAGTCTTTCGAGCAGAGTACACTGCTTTTATAGCTGACATAATCGCCAAAACTCTAACCAAAGCACTCGCTGCATCGAACAGTCCGGAAATTGCTTGCGATGCCAAGGTCCGCGAGACGATCGACACTTTTTTCTCACTCGAAGACTCTCAGGCATTTCTGCTTTCCGACTCCCCAGTCTTGTTGGACTGATTATTCGAGAGCCACTGCAACGTCTTGTTCCAGATGTACGCATCTTGCTGACGCCGTTTCTCATGCCGTTCGTCATGGCGACTTTTGAAGAGTCGGTACTTTCTCTAGTAGTGCTCTCAATGAGCAGGCTTTTACTGTGTTTCGCTGGCGCTGCTCAATTGAAGAGCGCCAGCGATGTAATTCCAATCACGCCACTATCCGAACTCCTTCTATAGCATCAGCATAGATGACAAAGTCGCGCAATCTCATCGATTCATCACTTGTCAAGAACCCGCGCCTTGACAAAGCGGTTGATTTGCTCCCGAGAGAGCTTATCGTTGTACTGCTCGTGACAATCGTAAAACGAAATCAGCTCTTGGGTGCAGTCAACCATGGCAGCGATATCAACGTTGCTCTCGGCCAGCCAAGCACCGTACCGCTGCACCCGGGTGAACCTAGCCTCCGGTTGCTTCTCTTTCTCCGCGGGGTTTGGTGTTCCGGGAGTCGGAGGCAGTCCAGGCACTCGGCCTTGGGCCTGAGCTAACGCTGCGCTTGCAGCAGCAATACCCGCGGCGGATGGCGGGTTGGAACCAGACATGTTAGGCGAGGGTCGCAGAACCAATACAAGCAAGATTGCCGTGAGGGCAATCGTATGTGGTGGATATAGCAGCGGCAGATCCGTCATGTAGTGATCGTTGATGATGGACCAGCCTAGGGCGACGTCCTCCTGGGTCAAATTCAACTCCTGCTGGTAGTTGTTCAGGGTTCGATACGGTTGATGAACTATAAGCTGAGAGCTCATCTCGGATATCATGAAGAACTCGCACTCGCCGAGCTTTGAGGTGTCGAGACCGAGGAAATCGGGCCACAGGGAGCGAGCTTCACTGACGATCAGGCGAATATGCTGCGGAGACTCTTCCATCTTACAGGCCAGGTACAGCGCGGTTGCGACGACCAGGTACGGATTTGTTCGTCGGATTTCGACCTTGGTGTAGAAGCGTTTGATGTAAACCTGGGCGGTGGCCATGGCCTGCTGCCGGACTACCATGCGTTTGCCGAGTCGATTGACCTCTGCGTGCGTGATTGAGTTAGCAGGCGGGTATGAAGTGAAGAAGCAGCAGGGAAGCTAACGTTGATTGAAGTAAATGCCTAGGTGCCGCTGTTGCGGGAGAGGAAACATCTGGACTAGGTCGGCATTGTCGTCTTCAAGCTTCTGGCGCACTGCTTGGAGTTCATCTTTGGAGAAGAGCCAGAAGCGACGCTGGGTTGACTCCCAGTAGTTGGCAGCCATGATGACCTCTCCCGGGCGTTTTGATGGAAGTCTATGACATGATTTGTGTCCGCAATGACCCGGAGAGGTTGGAGGAGATGCTGTTGAGGAGCAGCGAGGCTGATGTGAAGTTAACGGAAAGGGTGGCTGCGAGGCTGGTGCAACATATCTGTGGCTGAGGTCTCCCTGATAACGATAAGGCGGAACATGTCCGTCCGGGCGGCCTCAGGGAACCACCTCGCTGGAGCTGTCTGCTGGGGCAGCACTGAAAGCTCCCGGGAGAAGTGCTAATTGGTGGCAGCTGATTGCCTCGCTTGACCCGCCAGTGGAACCCTCCCCTGGGTAGCCGAGCTTCTGACGCTGTGGCTCCGGCGCGAACCACTTGCGGCAGGCGGTGCTGCATTTTCTTGGTCGCTGCACCTCGCGATCCTCCTACGTCAGTCCTTGTGACTTGCAGCACCTCATGCAAGCAAAGCCAGTCGCGACAACACCAACCCAACGCCGCCTTTGATAACCCGCCATGTCGTTGTGAGACAGACGACCCTCGATAGACCCCGCGCGATTTCCATCTTTCTGCCGCCGTTCGCCCTATGAATCCCGCGTCGAGACCGAGCCCTCGACTCTACTGACCCTGCGTCCTGATGCCGCCGCCGCCATGGGGGTAACAAATTGGGTTACCGAGCGCCAGATGGAGGTGGACGAGTCGCAGAACCAGCGGGATAAACGGGTCGAGGACCTCTGGAGGCAATTGGACCCCCAGGGGACGGGACATTTGGACTTTAAGGGGTTACAGAAGGGGTTGAAGAAGATTGATCACCGTCAGCATTAAACTCTGCCCGAAGCTCCCGTGTGGTCTGGATGCTGACGTTGCCCTTTAGCTATGAAAAATGCGGACGATATGTTGCGGAGGATCATGACCGTCGTCGACACGAACGACGACGGTGTGATTCAGTATGAAGGTAAGCTGCGAATTGGGGGAATTCCAGACTGAAAACTGAAGCTACTCGCCGGGTTCCCCTGTCTTGGATTGGATATGATAACGAGGACGGCTGCTGACCATGACCTCTCACCAGAGTTCCGTTACTTTGTCGAGCAGACAGAGAGGCAGCTCATGCTTCTTTTCCAGTCTATAGACAAGGACCATGATGGAAGACTTGACAAGACTGAACTACAGGAGGCCTTCCGACGAGCTGGGCTGGTTGTGCCGATGCGCAAGCTCAGCTCCTTTTTTGGCGATATCGACATGAACAACGATGGCTATATAAGCTTCGAAGAATGGCGGTAAGTTTCTCAGCATTCAATAGAGTGTTTGTGTGGGTCTATGGGTGTTGTTGTAAGCCCAAGCCGCAAAGCGAGGTGTAGAGTAAAGGGTGGCCGTTTATCCGGCGTATTTGGGAAGGTCCGGATCTAGGTCCAGGGGCACTACTCCACGGTGACCGGCCGTGATGTTCTCGGTGTGGCTCGGTGTACAGGCGTACAGGTGTATACCTGAGGTGAGGTGGGCGATAGGCTTCTATGATGTGTGCTCTGGAGCCATTGTCGGGTTGCACCTTCCTCAATTTCTTCTCGGAAAAACCTCTCCTTCTGTTCTGTGTTCTGCTTGGAGAGTGATTCACTGACAGAACCCGGGCACGCGCAGAGATTTTCTATTGTTTATGCCGACACACAATGGCCACGCCCCTCTGAAGGCCGTGTTGGACTTTTATTCTTCCATCGTCACCCTCACTGCTGAAGGTGACTCGATGGTATCGGAGGAGACACTTGAAGGTTTAGGTACGACCGGCTTCCTTCTGCAAACCCTCTTTGGATCCATTTTGAGGATCGCATCCCCTTCGGATCGTGAGCCCGGCACCACCTCCGAGTCTTTTGCTTCCGCCACCACCGCCGACGAAGACGGCCGCCCCGTGGTGATGGTTGTCCCCTCCCAGGAAGGCGCTGCGTCGCCCGTTCCTACCACAGCTGCGCAGCTTCCCAGCTTGTCAAAACCGCAGCAAAATCAGCAAACTTCACCAGACAGCCTCACGTCTGCCACAGATTCCGCCCAACAGCAAACATCAAAAACAACAACATCATCATCAGGAACCGCTACAACCGCGATAACAACACAAGCCGTGGTACCCATCTCTCCTCCAGGCTTTTCAGGTACCAGCGCCAACATGAACAATATGAACATGGAGGCAGCGGTGCTGCAGGCGTGCATCGAGGCCGGAAACGAGAAGCGCACAGGCATCCTCCGAAGACTCCCCGGCGTCGGCACCTCTCAAGCGAACCAGGTCACAGACAGCAGCTCCGAGCAAGGCTCTAGCTCAGATGCAACTGTAGCACCCAAGACCAAGAGACTGACTGACTTCGCCCCTGATCCAGGTTACTTTGTCGCAGGTGCCGTCGCTGGAGGACTATCGCGGACTGCCACCGCTCCTCTCGATCGTCTCAAGGTCTACCTGCTCGTCAACACTCGAGCCAGTACCGAGACTGCGGCCTCTGCTTTGAAGCAGGGACGTCCGCTTGTTGCTCTGAACAATGCAGTGCGACCTTTTAGTGATGCCGTCAAGGATCTCTGGAAGGCAGGCGGCATGCGCAGTCTTTTTGCAGGTACGCTCATGCTCATACTTCTACTGATGTGTATATACATTCATGGCTCTCGGCTGTAACTAGCCCATCGTTCCATCTATCTTGTGCTCCCTAGATTGAAAGATGATTGGCCAGTTCAAACCAAGCAACCACTTGAACCATGTACTGACTGCTTCAAGGCAACGGACTCAATGTCATCAAGATCATGCCTGAGAGCGCCATCAAGTTCGGATCCTATGAGGCCGCAAAACGAACCCTTTCTAAGTTCGAGGGACACAACGACCCAAGACAGATCAGCAGCACCTCAAAATTCGTGGCGGGAGGTGTAGCTGGCATGGTTGCTCAGTACGTTATTTCTCTATTACACTCCTCCAAGTTT